GAAGCAAGCGAAGCAGACAAACAATCAAACCCAAGGCTAGGTGCCTACCTAGGTAGTAACCAATGCAAACATTGTTTTGTTTTACAGTTACACCCCACCAAGACTCACGATGTCTCCTGCAAAGTAAATGCCTTTGTATGGGCCATGGTAGTTGATGCCGTTAACACTGCCCCCCCCCCATGTAAGTAACCGAGCCGGAGGCAAAGAGGTGGAGTTTGCACTATTTATGATGGTTTATGATTGATTCAATAAATGCAGTACTACCTGCTTAGTACATATGATCCAGCTTGGCCAAGCAGTGAAAGCGATGAGACTCGGAGTGACCGTGGTGATGTGGCAAAGACATGGCGTTCTGCAGTCAGTCTTTTTGCTGTTCTCTCGACCCTGGCACTGGTTGCAGGAAGCTCGTGGGAGTTTTCCTTGGGTTCGGATCCGGCCTAGGACAGCTTACTCCAGATCATCAGGTAGAAGTTATATGTTACTCTTCTTTCACTTTATTTCTTTTCTGGGGTGAACCTGGGGGGCTGGGGAAAAAGAAAAGAGGACTTCATGCAAAAGGAATGGATGTATAGGATTCGTCTGTAGTGGAGCATATATGAGAAGTCACTTGAGCGGAATTACTGGATCGCCTCTCTATGGTCAGCAGAGAAGAGATGTATACCTAGGTAGGTAGGTAAGCAGTTGGGTATAGGACTAAATTTGATGATAGGGGCAGCGCTGCAGGACAGAGAGAATATGTTCCACAAGCTCTCAAGACACCCGAGCTGAAACCTGGGTGTAATTATTTAGAAGATTGTCGTGTTTGCGGAAGCCTCCTGTGGAAAGGGAGTCCGACTGCCAGTGATTGGATATGATACTTTCAAGATGTGATTTACTTGGCACTCTTTTCGCGCACAATCTGCAGATTTGATAGACCGCTTCTCGGCAAACATGTTGGTTCGCTACTGCCGTCCACCAGCTCCAAATCGGCCTGCTATGTGCCCGTCGATTGGGAGATCTACAGGCGTCCAGACCAGTTTCAAAGCGCATAGATAGATAGGCTTGCTTGACTCGAAGCAGAGAACCACTCGGTCTCATCCACACAAGACGCTACGTTTGACCAGGCTGTCGTTTATGGAGAAAACATCTGTCGTGACAAGACTTATAATGACGTCGAATGCATAAGACCAGGATCTAGAATTGCCAATAGTATGCTGGTGGGGACCGCTGGAGCCTCGTATACTTTGTGATAGTAGGTACGGAGTACTCTCTCGATCTGTGTTCAACCCCCGAACGCCCAGCATAGAATGGGAGTGCTGCGACCGAAGGGTGACAGCGTATCTCTTGTTTCTGGACCTAGCCGATAGCCTTGGTAGAGAGATTCGTGATATGGATTTTGGCATCAACAGGGGTGCGGAACGAGAGGATATAATATAACTAATACGCGTCTGGGCTGCTTTTGATCAACATATCACTATTAATCCTTACACCTCTATAGCCTGGTAGGTAGGGATAATAAGATGGCTAATGATTATATATATAACATACCAGCTACCTATAATTTTTGCAAAAGAAAGGCAGCCTGGGAGGTCGCAAGAGATCAGAGAACACAAAGTGAAGGAGTAGGATTCAATGTAGAGAGATATAGAGAAAGGAAGATTCTAAACCCCTACAGATTGAACAGGATAATAAAGTCATTAAATTATAACATGTCATTAATGCATTAGATCATAGGCTCCATGACGCTCAAAGCTCCACAACTCTCACAGATAGACAGGCTGTTGCCATTATATTATTGCGCAATCAGACATCACAGACAGGAGTATTTGTCTGATGATAGCATGGGTTCCCAGGGGGGGGGGGGGTCAATAAAAGTGCCTAACTTGTATGTTTCCCTTAATTTTTTTATCTGCTAACTGATTGAGCAGAGTCGCCCATGAAGAATGTGAATGCTGCGATATTTTCAAATTACCCGAAGATCTGACGTCGGTATAGCCATTCAAACTTCAAGGATCATCAAGGGACTGTGATCGGAGGACGCCGTGAACCCGTACCAGATCTCTGATTGCCCATCTCCAGCCATATTCAAGGGTTCTTCGATCAGAGGTGATCCATTTGTCAACCTTGCGTCTCCATTTCTCCTCTTCTGCTCGCTGACGCTTGATAAACTCTGGCCCGACGTCGAACTCCTCCGTCATGGGCCATTCGTCCGACGATTCCCCGGGGCTTCGGTCATCTCCACTTGCCGTAGGACCAAGTTCATCGAATGCGTTTGAAGTTCGTCCACCGGCTGTATTTCCGGTTTTGGGACCGTTTTCTTGAAGATCATCAAGACCTGAAAAAACATCATCTTCATCCTGCACCGCCAACACCCCGCTGTCTCCAGGCTGCGATGGCGCCATTTTGAGCCAGCACATCCGTCTCGGGTCGAACACCATTCCACCAACTACCTGCACATTTTGCATGGTCCCGATATTAGTTATCAGGGCGGGAGCAGGTCTAGGTGATTTGGGGGTGGCAGGTTCGAATTCTATGATGGAATTCTCATTGCCTTCCCATTGAAATGTGGCCGGATTGTATCGCATGCCCTTTACAGCTATTGAGAGAGTTAGCTTTTAACACAAGACAGGGGTTCGAATTCGAAATATCCTACACTTTGCTTCTTGGACACCCGCTCCCATAGGCTTAATGAGATGGGGCTTTGTGGGTGTTGCCTTAGTCCTCCCTCTCTTGCTTCTCATCGGTAAAGAGGTAGAGGGACTCCGAGAGACGACCTGATCCTTCCAGTTAGTGCTAATAGATGCGAGGGAGCTTCTCTCTCGATTTTTCAATGTTAAGGTCATAGAAGCGATGCGTTGCTCTCGAGCATTTCTAGAAGCAGTGGTGTCTCGTGCAAATCTAGGAATTGAGTCCCGTGGCTTTCCCCCCGTGGGTGGGTCAGGAGACTGAGCAGGACTTTCTGTTCGCAGCAGCGTATTCTGATTTTGGCTCAATCGACTCCTAAAGGATCTGGGGACGCCGTGCGACGTGGGATACTTGACAAATCTGCTCTCTGCCGAAGCAGATGTGGGAAGATCATCCAGTGATTCTAACTCTGTACCATCACCGAAATTCCGTCGGCGGGTGGGTCGGGTTAGCGTACGCTTCATGCCGGCGAATGTGGTCTCTGGGCTTCTGTCTTGAAGACTACTCCCAATAGGCTCTGAGCGGCTGAAGCGTGGCTTTCGAGACGAAGAGGAACCCTGGGAAATGATATCACCGGAGCTATCTGAATTCGTTCGGCGGGAGTACCCGTATGTTTTGAAATTAACATGGTGAGACTGATTTTCCGATGCACCAGCAGGAATAAACGGCACCTGAGATCTGCGGCTGAGGGATCTTATATCTATACGATCGACCGGAGTTTTGGGTCGAACAGAAGATTGGAAGATGCGGCTGGTGCCATCTAGGCGGGACGGCGGCTGTTGGAAGGGTGGTGTCGATCCACTGCTATTGGTATTTCGCATAGCTGGCATCGAGCGTTTTGGTTTCAGACGTTTTGTACTCGAGGAGACATTGTCGCTAATAAATGGGTCTCGGGAAGTTCGTGCTCCCGTAGACCGGCGACTCGGCGTTGAAAGGTGAGGTGGTGTTACTGGGATGGCGGAGGGAGGGCAACTAGAAACGGAGGAGTGTGATGTATGGCTACCGAGCCGAGATTGGGGTCTTCGAAAATTGAAGATGGGAGCTCCGCTCTCCGATACTGTCTCTAGATGTGTTGAATGACGATCATGCCCAGAGAGGCGAGGTATCCTGGTCTTGGGGGAATGCTTTGTATTCGTAAAAGTAATTGTAGTTGCAAGCCGACGTGCCGGACTTCCAGGACGCCCGGATTTCCGCTTGATGTTCGGGTTAAGGGAAAGTTTTCCAATCGCAAAGGCATCATCGTTCTCGACGTCGAGGCCGGAAAGAAAATCGTCTATATCGGGGGGGGGCTGCCTTGGGCTAGTTTTATTTGGAGGACCAGCAAAACCCGCGTGACTGGTACTTTGACGCTTCTTCAACTTGGCTTCCAGGTCCAGTGGACCGGCAGGAATAATGATCCCATCGATGCCGTCGTCTTCACTTTCACCAGTCAAGTAACTTGATACGCTTGGGCTAGCAATGGATACAGAAGAGCTGGGGTTTGAACGGTGATCTCGAGTTGTACCGCCAAATCTTATCCCGATGCTTCCCTCGGACCAATCCACGTCAAAGGTTTCGGGAGCAGGACCCAATACCCTGGGGACATCTTTGTGAGTAGTAAGTTGCAGTTTTAAGTTGTCGGCTGGTAAATCGAAATCTGCATCAAAGTTTTCAGACTCTGTTTCCGCACCAGGGAATGGAAAGCCGTCTTGAGGGATCGTGACTTCTTGGGATCGCCAAGGTTTTGCTGCTTTTATGGTTGGTACTGCTTGAGCATCCGAAGTATCCTCCTCACGAAATTGGTCCAATCTTGTTAGAGCCGAGTGTAAACGAGTTGAATGATCATCATCCCAGAAAGGACTAGGGGGTGCCTTAATGGGACTTGTGACTGCAGAGCTGATTGTGCGGAGGGTGTCGGGGAAAAGGCTTTCCTGGGGAGGTTTCAACTGCAGGGTCTCTCCAGGTCCCGGAAATTCCACATCTTCAGACCAGTCGTCCACAAAGTTCTTCTTTGGCTTCCTTTTTCCAAGTCGTTTGATCGTACCTCCAACAAGAGCGGATTTCGGGACATTCGTAGGAATTGGGATACCGGCATTCTTAGCCGAAGCAATGGCATCTTCTGTTACTGCATCATCATTGTCATGCAGCAGAACTTGCCAATCCTCATCGGTACCGGCATTGGAGTCAAGATCAGAGCGCGCCGAGCGCCGAGAGGAGATAGAATCTCGGTGTCCAGAGCGGCGCACTAGCGAGGAATTTGTGACCGAGGTAGCTGATGAGGCGATGCGAAATTGTGTATCGTCCGTGCATTCTAAATCATTATCGTCGTCCCAGCATTCAATCGTTTCCTCATTATTGCGTTGAAGTTGTAGAGTCAAAGCCTCCATGGTAGAAGGTACCTGTGGAACCGAGGAATCATCCAGTCATCAACAGTCTAATAGATGAGTTCTATATGCAACCTTTCGACCCTTTGAACAATGACGGGCAAGGAATAGTCTGGGGTCTGAAGCTGGGCTGATGCAGTTATGCTAACTATGCTGGAAATCCACATGTCATCCACACAGCCGTGAGCGAGCGCTAGCAGCTTGGGTGTAATTGAGAGACTCCGAGAGAGGCCACGGGGGGAAACGCTATGTAGACATGGTAAACAAAGTGACGAGACGTTTGCGAGGAGAGCTTCGGTTGTCAAGAGAGTGGCTGGATGAGGTCTGTACTAGTTAGTAAGGACGCCTAGGAAGGTGCTTGGGTCAGCTCGAGACAACCTAACTAACTACCCACCTAAACTAGTGGTACTCCGTAGTTAGTTGCTTCTAGTTAACTGACATACCTAACCTCCCGAGCCCTCGGTCATACTGTTTGCCTAATTAACAAACATAACATTAAATAATAATAACTTCAGAAAAGGGGCTTTGCAGTGGATTTTTTCTTAAAATCTAGATTATTTGTCTGAGAACCATAGATTACAAAGTATTTCACTATCAGGCAAGTTAATCATAAGTTTAAGTTTTAAACCTAGCATTCTGTTAAGAGGAGTATTTTAAAATAATTATATCTTATATCTAGCTCTCCTAAGAGTATTTTACCTATCTAGGTACTCTGTATCTAACTAATAATAACGGGGTTAGGTACCTTAGTAAGGTAGGCAACAGGTACACTGCCCAGGTAGGTCCAACTAATTAGCAGTGACGGAACCAACTTTTCACTATCTAGTATCCAGTAACATTGCAAGAACCCAGCGAGCCTTCCCGGCATTATATGGTCCATACCTAGGTAACAGGCAGCAAAGCCACTGCTTTTGGGACAAAGGATCTCTAATAAATACTTATGTACCCATCTCCACCGGACTGAGAATGATCGGATCATCAGAATTTTGAATAATGGATGCCGAGCCTTTTTCTCCTCGCCGCATCGTGCGGATTCCCCTGTCCGATGAGCCTGAAGCTTATGTCCTGCTTGATGTTGTCAGTTCTGACCGCTCGCACTTGAACCTGAAAATCACTGCAACAGAAGGGGAGAATCCATTTGTTGGAACAGGTATCCATTCACGAAGCTGCCTTTGATTTGCTTGTTATATATTGACGGTCTCTGTAGTCAAAGAGGCTGATTTGGGAAGCTTTCGTGCCAAAAACTACTCAGGCAACGAAGAGGAATGGGTTCAGATTGTATCTTATGTCTTCGGACAAATCCCATCATCATCTCCCAGTCGTCTGCGATTGTTATCTGGTCTTTCAGTATCAGCAACAACATCTGATACAGGGAACGGCGCCAAAAAGCTGGCTATTACTATTAGGAAAAAAATCGAAGACATCACAGTAAGCATCTCGAGCGAGGCATTATAGCCCACATTGTCTAAACCTCTTTCACAGCAAAGGCTTGGCACGATTACTCTTTATCAAGATGATGAACAGGCTATAGAGCTATTTGACTGGTCGGGCGTTGCGGTTGCTCAAGCAGAGAGACTTGAAAAACAAATTGCATCCCTTATTGATAGATGTCAAGCAGCAGAAGATGGTATTTCCAAATTAAATATTCAACTTGAGGAACTAATAAGCGCCAAAGGCAAACATGAGTCTCAACTTGTTGCAAATTTCCTTCAGCTGTTGAACGAAAAGAAACTCAAGATTCGCAACCAGCAAAGATTGTTGTCCTCTGCGACAATGGACCCAGATAAAGGTAAGCCAAGTCAATCCAAACGCATTTGTTGATCGAAGCAAGAGGTACTGATGTGTCATGATTAACCAAGTCAATGCAGTGAAAGCAGCAGCAGCTGGTAGGCCACGAAAGCCCAGCGGGAAGCGTCAATCCACGAAGCGTGGAGCTTCGGCTTTGGATGATGACGAAATCAAAAGTGAGGATGAATTTGAACAGATGGATGTCGATCGTAGTACTCGGGCCGAAGACCAGGAAACCGACGGTGACCAGCCCCAGACACCTCAACCTCTAGAGACAGAGGAAGACACTTCAGCCGATGAAGAATACCAGAAACCCACGGTTGAAGAGGCGCCTATTCAGTCCCACAGAGCGGATGCTCAAGTTACGTCTAAAGGGCTAGATTTAAAGAACCCATCTACTGCTCCACCGCCGAGAGAGCTTCCATTTGCTCGGAGGTATACCAAACAAAGCACCCTCCAAAGCACCATCCAAAGCCAATCAGACCTGTCTCTCGACGAGATGGGTAGAGAGACAGACGCCGGAGAAACAGACGCTGGAGAGACAGATGATGATGAATTATAGTATAAGCATCAGACATTTTACTGCAGGGTACTAGTGATTTTTTACTAAAATGTTACTTGAAGTATGACCCTGCGGTCAGTACTTCTGATAAACTTGTATAATCATGAAGGAGTTAGTGACTAACCTACTACCGCTAAAGGGATATAAATACCTAGGTACTGAGTCCACATATTAATAATGATTTAGTAGTGCCTACCACTAGCATCTCAAATCAAAATACTAAACCTCGACACAGTTACACTGATTGGGGTCTTTGTGCTTTCTCTGAGAATGTTTATTTATAACTGAAGTACGATCTCTTTGCCTGTTTAATTGATTTTCATCGACCATAGGCTATATACAAGTCCATCTTTCTTGACAAATTCAGGCTACACCGAAATTTGTAGAGATAGGTGTAAAGTTACAAAAAGAGAGCACAGTGTGGTAGTTAATAGTCAAGTAGATATAAGGGTGGGTAGGTAGGTAGGTGTTGGTGAGGTGGTACATGAAAACGCCAAGACCGATAGACAGACAGGTGGAGAAAGGAAAACATGAAACAAGATCACAACGCTCAGTGTTTTAGAGGCTTAACCATAGAGAGCCTGGGGAGACATTTCACCAGCAGCCATGAAGTTCGTCTCGGGATTACCCGTGGCCTTGGCTGCAGAGCAACGTGCCATCGTGGGGGAGCTATAATTTGTTAGCAGAGAGTCTTTGATTGAAGACAAGGATAGTTGTGTCTCTTAATACGCACCTTCTGGAGATGGAATCAGTGAAATAGAAGTCCTTAATAACATTTTCAAAGGGAGCTCCTGTCGCCTTTGCACCCTTGTTTTGGTCAACAAGCTGGACTTTGCCCAGACTGCTCAAGGAAGTCGGTTCAGCAATATCATAGCGGCGCATAACAGGGCTGATCTCTTCCAGGCGATCCCGCAGAGCTTCAATGTCATCGTAAGGAAGGGGGGCGGCAAGGAACTCGCTGGCTGCACGGATAATCTTCCAGTCATCACGTGCCGCGCCAGGCATAGATGTAGCCGCACGAGTTACCTGGACGCGTCCCTCAGTGTTGATGTAAGTGCCAGATTTCTCGGTGTAAGCTGCACCAGGGAGAATAACATCGGCAACTTCAGCACCCCGGTCACCGTGGTGTCCCTGATAAACAACAAAGGCGTCCTTTGGAATCTCAGCTTGGCTGACTTCGTCAGCACCGAGAAGCCAGACCATCTTGGGAGCAATTTGGGCAATCTCGGGAGAAGGCGTAGTGAAACCAATTTCATAGGCAGCCGCGCGAGATGCAGCGCGCTGAAGAACGTTGTAGCCCTGCCACTCAGGGGTGTTGAAGTTGGAGGAGTGCTTATCAACAAAGCTGCCAACCGTCTCAAAAATGGCCTTGGAATCCACATGCTCGGCGGCAGCACTGCCAACAACGATCATAGGACGTTTGGCGGCAGCAAGCTTCTTTCCAAATTCTCCAGAAAGAGCTGTCTTCAAGGCGGAAACGTCGGATCCTAGGTGTTCAAGTTCAAAAGTGCTCTCGAACTCTTCACCGACGAGGGCAATCTCAATATCGGAGCGAAGGTATTGCTTGCGAATGCGGGCATTCAGGACAGAAGCCTCATGGCGGGGATTTGTTGCGACGAGAAGAAGCACATCTGCGTCTTCAATACCGTAGATCTTGGAGTTGAACAAGTAGTTGGATCGGACGTCAACACCGTGGGCGATGGGAGCACTACCACCAGGCTGGTCGAGGGCAAGGTTGTCAGATCCAAGCTTGTTGGCGAGGTCTTTCATAGCAACAAGAGACTCGGCATCAACAAGATGACCAGCAACAGCCTTGAATTCGTTTTCCTTGGGTTGGAGTCGCTGGTGAGCGGAGGAAATTTCCGTGAGAGCCTGTTCCCAGGTTGCAGGAACAAACTTGCCCTCTCTGCGAATCAATGGCGTGGTGAGTCTCTGGGTCTTCAGGCCGTCGCAGGCGAATCGGGACTTGTCGTTGATCCATTCTTCATTGATATCGTCGTTCAGTCTCGGAATAATGCGCATGACTTCCATGCCTCTGGAGTCAATGCGAATGTTCGAACCCAATGCATCCAGGACATCAATAGATTCAGTGTGCTTGAGCTCCCACGGACGCGCACGGAAAGCGTAGGGCTTCGAAGTAAGGGCACCGACAGGACAGAGATCAATGACGTTGCCGGAAAGTTCTGTGTCGATGTTCTTTTCCAGGTAAGTTCCAATTTGCATGTCATTTCCTCTCCCTGATGTTCCAAGCTCTGGTGCTCCGGCAATGTCATTCATGAAACGAACGCAACGAGTGCAATGAATACATCTGTTCATGGAAGTTTTGATGAGGGGGCCGATGTTCTTGTCCTCCACGGCACGCTTGCCACTGACTTCGTGAAATCGACCGCGATCAGCACCATAGCGCATCGATTGATCCTGGAGATCGCATTCTCCACCTTGGTCGCAAACGGGGCAGTCAAGAGGGTGGTTGGCCAGTAGGAACTCCATGACACCCTCGCGTGCCTTGTGCACCAAGGGGGAGTTTGTCTTCACCACCATTCCCGGCTGCACCGGCCAAGCACATGATGCCACAGGTTTCGGGGCTTTTTCGACTTCGACGAGACACATACGACCTGAAGAGAAAAGAAAGTCAGTTTGGTCAATATTATCTCACATATACCAAAAAAACCTACAGTTTCCTGCAATCAACAGCTTCCTGGTGGTTTTATTAGTACGATTCTCGATCTTCAAAAGGGTAGATGGTCATACTCGTGATAGCAGTATCTACAGTCGACATCAGCATGAAACATGGCATTTAGAAATTTAGTGACCGGCTTACCTAGGAACCGTTGCACCTGCCTTCTCGCAGGCTTGGATCAGGGCGGAGCCCGCTGATAAATCGTGTAAGCCTCAGGGTGTCAATCAGATTTTATATGTCAACCGTACCTTCTACCGAGACCTTTTTGCCATCTATCAAGAAAAACATTAGCCCAACACCTCACAGAACACGAAATGCCAACACGTTCGTACCAATTGTGAGTTCCACCTCCGCCGTGCGAGGGGTGGTTGTTGCGAAGGTCCTGGGATAGGTGACCCTAGGAACCCGGCAGGACCGCGCGGCCGCACGGAACATCTGCGGCCGCATACTGAGAGTCATACAGGGATTGTTGAACACGAAGAAATCCTGTTTCCAAGAGGGAGATGTGGCAATGGGCGAACGCGGAGTTGTGAAAACCGTTCGAGCTCGGTTGGATTCTGCCAGACCGCAGATGGATTGATTCCCTCGCAAATTGCCGCTCCCGGATTGGTTCGGGGAATGGAAAATCAATTATTCCAGCTGTGCCCTTTTCCCGGCCATATTTGTCAACATCCTCTTCCGAATTTTCTTCTTTCCAACAAATACTCATCCACGGACATGACTTATTGTAGGTGGCAGGGCAACATTGACGGTTGTTGATGTTATCGTCCCTTTCTCCTCTGCTTCATGATCTGAGAGCATATTCTGCACCGAGCTGGAGCCGCCTAGGGTTTTCCTGTCGTCGTCGATAGATTTCCTGATGATGGCTTAGTTCTTTACTGACGGTCGCAACATTTCGCTTAACCAATCCTAGCTATACAATAACTTTCCCCTATCATCGGCTTACCTTTTTATCCGCGCCACTATTAAAACTATCATTGAATTATATGGTGTTATAAAAATTTACTTCATATCGCTGGCTTCTAATCAAGTTAATAAAATAAAGATGTGCTGTAACAGCTTCAGTAGAGGAGGAATTGGTGACCTCGAGGCTTCTTTATTCCGCACAAATTCCACGGCGCTATACTTACAGAGATAATCATCAAGTCGGAGAGTACTGACACATGACTGGTTTATAGCAGCAATAATGAAAATAATATGCCAAAAATATGCAGTAGTTTTTCTGAAGAGGAAGGTAGTCTAGAAATACATGGAACATCATGAGAGGGTATACATGGAGTAAAAAATAATGCAGGCTCGCGCAAACGGCTAGGAATCTGTCGGTTGCCAAGTCGACTCTTGTTTCGTGCCAGGAGGCAACCAAGTCCGTGGAAGATTACTTGCTGCTCTCGTTCGCATGTGCTCTGGGGGGTCGTCCTCTTTCTTCTGGCGAAGGGTTTGGTTTTCAGGTTCAAGAGCCTTGCTCGTTGGAAAAGCATAACCGTTCGAATCCTTTTGTTTACCCGAAGGCCCGGCATTCATTGGAAGAAGGGATTCATTCCCACGGAAGTGATCTGCGTTGGCCCTCTGATCTGCGAGATCATCGTGGCTATTGCGGTCATAGAGGTAAAGCCCCAGAAATGTCAGAGCAATTCCCAATGCCTGAACAGAAGTTGTTGAGCTGCCAAACCATACTATTGCAACGATGATGACGAAGACGCGCTTCACAAGAGAAGCCACTGAATAGGAAACTGGCGAAATCATGGATAATAGAACGAAGGCAAGAATATTCTGCGCAAAGTGGGTCACCCCGTTGAACACAAATTCTAGTAAAAGCTCGCCATGATCTAACGACCCCTTTGCCACTGATAGGGCAATGGAACCGTCGCGCATAATCTGGGATATTAGTGTATACCCCTCGCTGATCGCCCAAATCGGCAACGTCAACAAAAAGGCTAAACCGGAGCAATAGCACAGAAGATTGAGCTTGTCCAACTTGCGACGACTACCTGATTGCATATCCAGCTCGGCACGCGCTGCTTCATTGAATAATTTTTTCGAGAAGATGTTCTGGGCAACAAAGACTAGCGCAGCAAGGAATGCGCACAGAATGCCGAAGAAATCAGTGGAGAAGCCAGTAGAGCAAGCTAGCATGACACCCAGAGTCAAGGGTATTAGTGAAAGATATGTTGCTTTGGCGTAACGTATGCGGAAGAAAACACGATAGGCGAAGACTGTAAAGAGGGGCGACAGACCCTTAATGGTGTGCACCAAAGACACGGGTATCTGGGAAGTCGCCATAGAGCTTAGTATATGTCCAGCCAACTGAAATATCGCCAAAGGCAATGCAGTCAAGATGACCTCGCGCGTCGGGTAACGTATTCCATTCTTCAGTGCCGGAATATGTTTCTTGAGGGCCGGAAAAACCGTGGAGAGATAAGTCAAAGTCAGGCACCAGGTGGCAACAAAAGCAAATTGTACAATTGTGAGTGTGATTGGCTGTGGAAGGGCGTTGAGAATAGACTTAGATGACGTATTCGTAAGAGCGGAGGTCATATACCAAATCACGCAGAGAATCTTGAGAAGAAACAGTCAGTATATCTTGCAATGACGAGGGTACAGCAGGGTCGGTTTCCCTTACAATTAGACGATATGACACAGGAGCTCCCAGTGCATTGGCAAGCTCATGTGCATTAGCGCTCACACTGGCATTGCGTGTCCTAATGGTGCTGATCGCCTCGCTGATACTTTTCCTTGGCCGGTGTTTCCTGAAAGCTCCATTTTGCCAGGCAACACGTTCCGCTTTGCGTGGTATCCAATGGTCATCTTGTATAGATCTATAGGCGGCATTTGAATGACTGCTTGAACTTAAAGGGGCATCGTGATGATCATCAACAAAAGTCGGAAATTTGTCGAGGTCTGTGTTCAGTTGTGCATCGGCCGGGTTGGATTCTGATTGTAGCGGGGAAGGGTGCTGTTCTGCACCGGTTACTGTTGACGTGGCCATAATCCGAAAAGATTAACATAACTGTGTCAATACCAATTTAATTTCTATTAGCTCACTACCCAAAATGATAGGACTGGGGGCACTTTTACCATTGATCCCCTTGCAGGTTTAGATAAAGTGAGAAGTCTGCGGTGCAGAAAACTGTCCTCCGTCCCTGCTAAAATACTATTTGAAGGTAGGCGTATATAGGAACTATGAGAAAAGGGATGTGTCAATATATATTCGAGCAATATTTCTTTGTCGGCTGAACATTGAAAGGCTGAGCCGCGCAATAAGCGGGAATAATGATGTGAGCAGGAAAGAAAATAGGAGCTTCGACGTACAGGCAATCAATCTCCTGTCGAATCACAGCAGGGACCTGATGTGGTAGAGTAAGGACTCAGGAGTAAGTCAAAAGCTTGATCAGCTGGTATGCATGGACTTGAAACATCGTTTGCGCAAGAATAACCATATTTTGTGGCCAAAGGAAGTTTGGCAGATGGACGAAGTAGAAGGAGTGCATGTGAACCAAATGCTTTCATAATAATGTCTACGGAGTCGGCTAGAGAGCGAAAGGTACTCCGTACTTCGTACCTAGATACTTCGTACCTGTTAAATACATGTAATCCGAATATGTTGCTGATAAGTAACTAAGCCCAATGGTATTGTATTGTAATATTAATAATTACCGTGGTGCACAGGTAATTATAGCTACCTAGGTACGACCTACCTAATTTCGCAGATACACGTGGATTATTAAGTAACTAATAGGTAGGTAGTTACATTAGGTACTTAGATAGGTACTACTTGGTAAGCACCGCATCGAGCTCCAACAGCAAAGGTACCCGAGTTAACCCCAGGGAAATCAGATGCTCAGGCAGGTGGCATGGCATACGGAGTACCTGAGGTAGTGCAGGAGGTAACTATGGAGCTACCGGGTTACTAACCTGCCATTTTTCCTAGTATGGTAAATAGTGACCAATAATATAGAGCCCATTCAACCTATATTTACGGAGTAACTAGTATTTAAAGAAAGGTAAGTTAGTAACCATAACCTACTACCTACGGTAGGTACTTAAGTAGTATACTTTAATATTACCTAGAATATGGAAACTGGTATGTATATATCGAAATCAGGATATGAATTACGGGTAAGTACCTTACCTAGGTACTTATGAGTAACCACGGGCTGAACTGTGTAACTGGCCTTCTTGAGTAACTCTTTAATATTACACTAACTACTCACTACCTAAGGGACTTTATACAGATTTTACTACTTATGGCTATATAATTATGATTTACCCAGTTAGCTATAACAGATACTGACCCTTTAGTCATAGTTATCAAGGAACAGTGGCAGGCCTATGATTTACCATATACTTTCCTAGTGACAACACCGGAGACTCCTCCATTTGTCAGTTCGAGATCTTTAAATATGTGCTTGACATCTGCTATAGGATAAAATGTTACATAGAAATCAGGTAACCTATGATGAAATATGTAAACCATGGGGTTAAGTTCTCTAGCTTAACATTTAACATCAAACATAAGGGAATCTAAACATACAATACAAAGCTACATAGTGGCTAGATTGAGTCAGTTTAAGTACATAGAGAGCATAGATGGATCACTTTTATCTCCTGTTCTAGTATTTTCCTTTTCAAACTCTAAACTACCTACCTAGAGGCAGCTTACAACGTTGCAGCCTGTCTTTATATCACCGGCGGAAGGATTCAACAGGCTCTAATGCCGATACCTGGTTCTTTCCCATTTAAGAAATCATACTTGCGTCGGGTTATCTTACCTGCTCCCATTCCCTCCTGCCATCAACTAGCCATCCCGTCGTTCCTTCCCTCCCTTTTTGCTTTCCATCTGTTTTTCCAAGCTTGTTTCCATCTCCTGAACTCTTCAGCTGCAGATACTGCTATCTATTCCAATCTTTTGCTCTTCACAAAAATTAATGTTATCTAAGAGAGTATTTCGAGTCAAGCTGACCTGTTGCTCTCAGCACATTTGGATTTTGAAATTGTTCTAGCTTTGTCAAACTACAAATCTCATCACCATTGACCAGAAGCTACTGCTTGTGATATCCTCATTGGCAGTCCAACCAGCTGTCTTGGACATTGGGTGTCTAGAATTTCGTTTCTGTCATCAAGTCCACTTCCGAGCGGGTATACACTCGTCAAAGGAATGTCTCAGCTCAGCAACGATGATGCCGAGGCAAGTCCGGGGTTCGGACGCGCAGGAGTATCGGTGAGTTGATATACCAGAGCCTTGTTCTTGACCATCTTCTCTAATATATTCTTGCCCCGTAGATAAACAGGCCCTCTGGCACTTTCAGCGGCCAGCTTGATCCTCTTGTAACTTCCAAATTGGGGAACTCTCAACCCCCGCCAGTGGAAGATAACAATACACCTGCTTACAAGGTCAGAATTTCCGAGCAGTCATCTGTAGACTTTGATTTCTGACAATCATAGAAGCAGAAACTGGAGCATTTCAATATTTCATCTTCCTTCTCCCAAACCTCTGATCTGGAGAAAATCCTGGCAAAGCTCTCTCCTAAGCAACAGCCATCTGATGCTTGTGCCACAAACCAGGAGATCCTTACGCGCCTTTCTCAACAACAAGCCATGTTGAAAAAGCAGCATACTCTCCTGGCCAGCAATCATACTCTCTCGAGCATTCATCCAACAACTGACAGCCTGTCCAGTCTGCTAGCCATCGCTCCTGGAACCGAACCTGTTTCAATTCAACCATGGGCTGATAGCGATGAGCGCGAAGCAAGCAACATAGAAGACCCATCTGAAATTACCCGCTTAAAGCAAGAGTTGCTTGCGGCAAATTCGAAAATTGCTCTTCAAGAACAAGAGCTTGCACAGACCCGTGTCATAAAGCATACTCTTGATCAAGCCCTCGGGCCTCCGTCTGAAGTTGACTTCGGTGGTAGGGATGTTACCGAGCAAACTCTCAGCAATTTGCAAAATGCCTTTAACGCCTCAAACCAATCATTCGGACACTTTCAGGGCTCCTGGAATACACAAGAAGATGCGCGGTCCGACTTGTCTGATGCTCTTTCAGCTGGCACATTCAACAAAGCTCGCGGGGTTTGGATGCCACCGTCTCAGCCAGTATTTGGAGCAACTACGGATTCTCTGGCCACGGACAAAACCGGCATTGGATTTGATCATGTCTCTGGCCCAAGTAGGTCCCTGGGCCAAGAATTGAACGGGTTCTGGGCTCAGTCGGTGAATTCTGAGGTACAAGGCGGGAGTCCCTTCCAGCTTCATAAAGTACTGCCTGGCCCTTCTGTTACGTCCTCGAGACAAGAGCTGCGATATCCTGGAGATCAAAGTCGGTTTTTTTCAGGGACTACGGGGATCACTCATCAAACTGTTATACAAGGCCCTCGCCAAGGATCTTGTTTTCCAACCCATCCTTCTACATGGGGAGCTTTCCCTACCGGGCTTCTTGGTAACTCTGTTCACACATCACCCACATCACCCACCAATAGACGGTTAAGTCCATTCCAGTCTGTCGGTATGTATCAGATGCCGCCATATCAGCCTCGACCCGTGGGAACGCCGCTTTCCCCGACGGCTAGTGAGTTCACGTCAAATAATGCGAACGTGTCTGCATGGGCAAATTTAGTGGTAGGTCCAAAAATCTCCAGTCTAACTAGCCATAAACCACATTTTTACGTTTGAATAGGCACCCGTCGATCCCATTCAGACATATGTCTCGCCGCTTGAACCGCTCAATTATCGGCGACTCCTTGACAAGAACGTTTCCTGCGACTGGAAATATATCGTGGACAAGATTGTTTGCAACAATGATCAGCAAGCTTCAATCTTTCTGCAGCAAAAACTCAAGGTTGGCACAGTTGAACAAAGATACGACATTGTCGAGGCCATAGTCAACCAGGCATATCCCCTCATGATTAATAGATTTGGTAATTTTCTTGTTCAAAGATGTTTTGAGCATGGAACCCCCGAGCAGGTCATTGCCATTGCTAGCGCAATAAGAGGCAATACTCTGAGCCTGAGTATGGATCCTTTCGGATGCCATGTGATCCAGAAAGCTTTCGACTGTGTTCCCGAAGAACAGAAGGCAGCTATGGTTCATGAGCTACTGCGGAGGATTCCGGAAACGGTGATTCATCGATATGCGTGCCATGTTTGGCAGAAGCTATTTGAACTGCGCTGGAGTGGCGAGCCTCCACAAATTATGGCGAAAGTCAACGAAGCTCTGCGCGGAATGTGGCACGAAGTGGCTCTCGGAGAGACAGGTAGTCTAGTGGTACAGAATATCTTTGAAAATTGCGTGGAGGACGAGAAGGTAAGTCACTGCATAGCTCACTTGTGGCTTTATTACTATAAGCCCCTGCTCCAACAGTGTCAAATTTGAAGGTATCCTGACAGTTAGAAGCGCCCGGCAATAGAAGAAGTGCTCACCAAAATTGATGTGCTTGCCCATGGCCAGTTTGGAAACTGGTGCATTCAGCACATCTGCGAACATGGCGCCCCCCACGACAAGAGTCGAGCCATTGAGCATATCTTGCTCTGGGCTGTGGACTATAGCATGGACCAGTTTGCTTCCAAGATTGTCGAAAAATGCCTGAAGATCGGCGGAACCGATTTTCTTGATCGCTACCTTTCTCGAGTTTGTATGGGTCGTTCGGACCGTCCAAGAATGCCCCTCATTGACAGTAAGTGGGAAGAATGGTTGTATTCTGCTTATTAGAACGTTATTGACTATTTCTATAGTTGCTGGCGACCAGTATGGCAATTACTTGATCCAATGGGTTCTCATGAACGCTGCAAGTCATCAACGTGAGCTTGTTGCCACTCACATCCGGTATAGAACTTGTCTATTTCTGCACACAAGATGTTGTGACTGACCATATTGGGCAACAGAAAGCATATGGTATCCTTGCGGGGCTCCAAATTCGGTTCACGAGTGGCCATGCTCTGCTGCATCCAAGTACACAATAATCGAACAGGTCCCAGTTCCGGGTTTCCAATTGGCCGGTTCAATAATTTCAACGACGACCGTTTCCAAGCCCCACCAGGTAGTCGATTCAATCGAAGCAACCAGTGGAATCCAAACTACCCGCCATTTCGTTAAATTTCAATACGTTCACGGGTCGATTTTCAAATATATCGTCGTCCAAATCAAACCGTTCTAACGAAACGCCATAGTATTTTTTCTTTCCACCTACGACCTCGGCGTTATTAAAGATCTTCTTCCGTCTGAACTGCCTCTATCTCTTTGGTGATATCATACCTAGGCTGATACCTTAGCCTTCAATTACTCCGTTTACTGGTTTAAGGATACTTAAAAAGTGGTCACCAATGAAAGTTACTGCTTGATATCTCTTTCCCCTGTTTATGTTTTTGTTCATCACAAAATCACAAAGCGGCTTTTAATGCAAATGTCTTTCTTCCCTCGAACTTACCCAATTCGCCGAAGTTCTAATCTGTCCTCCAGAGCCCGGGGAGTAAGGATGTTGTGATAGAGGCTTGGTTTATTACGAGAAGTCTTGTCTATCCTTTACTTCACATCAAAATTATTTTTTAAATGACTTAAATAGTAATAATGTCTATCATGAAAACAGATAGAATTTTTTTCTTAGTATCTGCCAGAGGCTTTGGTCCTAATTTAGTCTGATATCTTGTTGTATGAGGATAGACTGGATATTTATCTCTAAGCCGCAGCAGGGTCGAGACATTATGGACCTCCAAAGTCCTTCCATATCCCTATAGGCCGCCCCGAGCACTCCGGATTTGGCGAAGCCAATGTAAGCTTGAAAGAAAGCATTGGAGTACGAAAAGTCAAACATCCTTCTCAGAGAGCGCAACATTTACAAACCGGTCGACTCTCCGCTTGACGGATTAGGCTCCATCTCCCATGGCTTTCTTCTTTTAGGCGTTGAGCTGGAGGAAGTGTGTCCTGTCAGGACTGTGTCGGGGATTTGTTGAATTCCAGGAATCGGCTGACCAGAGGTGATGAGATCGACAATGTGCGAAAATGAAGAAGGGTAGACAGGCTGTTGTTCCGAGTCCGCAGTTTCAGCAGATTGAGATGTCTCCCCTAGCGGTGGAATCTCGGGCGTTTCACCCATTTGCCGTTCTTTCAACCATTCCTTGTACGCGACGAAGTTTAATGGTTGTGAGAGCCTTTCTTTCCTGCACGGAAGCATTAGCTAGCTGTAATGGTTTGTATAGGCAGCCTCTAAGATCAAGGCAAACGACGTACCGAGCAAAGAAGAAGCACTTGGCCTGTAAAATTAGATCATCATCTCGATTGATCTCGGCCGCGGTTGCTGGCGTGCCCTGATGACCGAGTATAGTGGAGAGCCCGTTTGCAAACTCCGCATCTGAAGTAAACGGGTATGCTCGTAGTTTGTCGAATATCTTATTCACTGGCTCTTGGTCGATTTGTTGCGATGTCTTTGCCGTCTTATCCTGGGAGACTGGTACATTTTCTGTGGGAGTATTCATGGTGGATGGATGATTGGCTAAGAGGGTTCAATAAACAACAGCAAGATATAAGCAATATTTTGATTTGTTATTAAAACTATTCTTTCTTTCTCTATTCCTCTGCTCGTCGATAAGTTGATGTCAGATACGACGTCTACTGGTGGATGTTTTTCATGACAATATAATAAACCTCGGTTGGACACTTTCCGAGCCTGGGGCCACAAATTAAGTAATCAGTAACGTCTACACATAGTTAACTAACCAGCCAACTCTTGAAGAGCTTTATTTCGTGGAAAAATGAACTTCACGGGGGCGGCTAGGAAAAGCACTTTAATGCCAGCGTCAGAACCATCGTTTGTAGTCCATGATCCCCACCTACTGAAAACCTCGAGTCAGATGGAGCTTGAGAATTAGACTTAAGAGTTACGAGTGACAAGTAATAAGTAACTACCAATTGGAAACTGTCAACTAGTATATCATACACGTGATATATGGATTGGCGTTGTGTGTAAACTGCAAGTTTATCTGGACTATCTGAATCTCAGATACGCAGTATGGGGTGTTTTTTGAACGAGAGCCATATTGGTCCCCCGAGAAACTTCCGTTATCAAGCATTTGCCGTTTTGACAATGCCCAGGATATTGGGAGTCGGCAAAGCGAAATAGTTCAACTATGTTGTGTCCATTTGATCGGGATATTGGCGATCTTTAGAAGTACATGGCTCTACTGTTTCCGCACTTGGTATTTGGTGGATGGTTCCGCTTTGACATCCAGGGCAGTTATGCACAACCTCATGGGCGAAGAGATCGCAGTCAATACAGAAATGATTCTTGCACACTGTGCACTCATAGCGACTGCTCATGCTGACTCCCCTTGCTTGGCTTTCTGCAGAGTGCCATTGATCCCTTGAGGGAACTGGAGGGAAGTTAACTCCACAGGCGAAGCACGATGCACTTCGTGAAGCATGTTCCCATGGAACCTCCACCCAGTTAATCAGAGGGAAAAGATGGTGATATGAACGAGCAAGATGGGTAGACAAAATGAGAGTTAGGCCGCAGGCCGGACACTCTGCAGGGAGTGAACATATTTTGCTACTGCATCGGGAGCAGAGATATCCACCGCAAGACGGCTTAGAATGACACGCGCAGAGAGAGGGATGGGCCTCGACAGTGTGTGATGGAAACCCCATCATCAGGAGAGAGCTTGTAGACTGCTTCTGTTGAAAGGTTGCAGGTGGGGTTGTCACATCCATCATCAATTCATGAAGATGTTGCTCGTTCAGGGCCACACCGTAAACAGTATCATCCCCTCCATTTGTCTTGGCGCATAATTCCCGACAGATAGCGACCTGTGCAGCAAGACCAATAATCCCAACACGAATCTTGTCACTAATTAAGGTTGAAATTGTTTGGTGGATGTCTCCTGGGTCGGAGGAGAGAAGAGAACCGAAGATAATGAGGACTTCCCGAGTGCCGTGACTAGGCGTGTGACTATTAGAGAACTAGTTAGCAATGGTTCATGCGTCAAGTAAATGAGGGAACGTACAAAAGAGCTCCACGGGCCATCTCAAGTCCATTCTGGAGACTAGGAAGGCCCTTCGGATCCTGATTCCTCAGTGCTTCAATCGCTGTGATATGTTCGGTCGGATTTCCGCTCATGTTACTAATCCTGATCGCGAGGCCATCTCTTAATCCCAGCACTCCTAGTTGGGATATTGGGTTCTGCTCGAAGAATTCCACCACAAACTCTTTTGCATAACGAAGGCTTAAAAGGTAACGTGTTGGCCGCAGGTCCTTCTCTGACATCGATTGTGAAAGATCCAGAATGAGGATTAAATGCCGAATGATACCTCGTTGTAAAGGCGTTGTGTCTCTCAACAACCTATAATAAAGAAATTGCGCTGAGCATCGCGTTTCCGAGATCTCAGACTGCTTGCAAGGGTTGTAGATGCGCTATCATCCAGGAGCCTTATTCGAGCTCACCTTTTGCGTTTTCCTGCCTCAAGAAGGCTTCCAACCGTAGAGCTAATAGTCCCATCTGCGCCTTCGACCAAAGTTTCCCACGTCCTTGAGACCTCCCATTCTGCACCTCCTCGTTGCTTTTTCCTCCTTGAGCGCGATGAAGCGTCGCCTGCTCGACCTACTCGCCCGACATTAATGTCTTCTTCATCTCCAGTTCCTTCACCGATATATTCTTCATCGGATGACATCGTAACTAAAGGCGATCAGGTAGTATAACCGGTTTAGTCATGCGATGCGGCGGAAGCTGGCTCGGAAGCTGGGATGCTGAAGCTAGCGTCCGCTCAGCAATGTATTGGGACGAGCTCCGTCGGAGCTCCGCTACCTTACCTCTACGTACGTAAGTACAAACTTCACCCGACAGTCAACTAACTAGCAGTGCTACGGTACCACGAAGCAAATTGCTAGCTCTAGTTCTCTGGATGAACCTCATTCCTACCAATTCTAGTCGATAATTTGGGGATTGAGGTACGTAGTTATACTCAATTAAGGATCAATGCCCATGCATGACCGTGACTTGAAGAAAGAAGAAAGGCCCCGGAGATCTGGAGAGAAGGTCTCAGAGAGGAAACAGAGATAAAAGTCATGTGGCGTAAAAAAAGTATTTCTTCGGTTGGCTATTCCGGCGGTGGTATTCGCTGTCATTATTCTGCCCTTCAAGCTGTCCGACCAACCTTCTGCTGCCCCTCACCCTCCTGCAAGCTGTACGACCGCTCTCTCAACCGTTCCACTGCTCTACGAACACCTTCTTTTCGCCCTCCCAAACCAGCATTACCTATCTCTTTTACTAAGTCTTGCTCTGCAGAAGCACATAGGATGGCGGCTAAAGATAGAGACATCCTTCCTGATGCGTAAGTTGCACATATCAGCGCTCTACAGATGAAGTACCTACAGAGGCACATAAATTAATACGGCAACAGGGTTAAGCCGCTTCATTATGGAGTCTCTCTCTTTGACCTTCAGCTTGGCGGTTCTTGGGGATACAAAGGCATTGTGAAGGTCGATGCCAAAGTCGTCCGTCCCACAAGAGAAATAGTCCTGAATGCAAAAGAGATTGAAATTCAAAAGGCAGAGGTTCTGTCCAAGGACGGTTTGTACTCTTCCCGCAGCTACCTGGATATTGAATAGACACAGTCTCGGTTAACGATGACATTCCATTAAGGATCGAAACTGGCCGAGTCAACCTCTATAGCCTATGACAAAGAATCGGAGCGGGTATCTTTCCAATTTCCCCAAGAGATTGCTTCTCCCGACGTTGTGCTATCAATTGAATTCACTGGAACGATGAACAATGCTATGGTTGGCTTTTATCGTTCAAAGTACAAGCCTACGGGTTCGCCATCTGCGGATACCCCCAAGGAAGGAGATTTCCATTACATGCTGAGCACTCAATTCGAATCTTGCGATGCGCGGAGGGCTTTTCCATGCTTTGATGAGCCTAATCTCAAAGCTACGTTTGACTTCGAGATCGAGGTTCCCAAAGGACAGGTTGCTCTGAGTAACATGCCTATCAAGTCCGAAAGAGATGGAAGCAGCTCCCAACTGAAGGTTGTGTCCTTTGAAACGACACCCGTCATGAGCACATATGTAAGCATTTTCAACAGGTCTCTTTTCGCTCTTTAGAAACCAGGCAGCTGATTATCGCGAAGCTATTGGCATGGGCTGTTGGTGACTTTGAATACGTCGAGGCGATGACGGAGCGGAAGTACCAAGGGAAAAGTATTCCCGTCCGGGTCTATACTACTAGGGGACTCAAAGAGCAGGCTCGCTTTGCTTTGGAGTGCGCTTCTCGGACTGTGGATTATTTCTCGGAGGTTTTCGAGATTGAATACCCACTCCCTAAGGCTGATCTCCTGGCGGTTCATGAATTTGTGAGCATTTCACCCTCTTCTTCATTTGTTTTTTCTCTTCCTCTTCCTACTTTCCGTTTCTAGTTTTGTTCCACGACAGAGACTATGAGGACCTCCAGAATGACTGACTTAATTAGGCTATGGGAGCAATGGAGAACTGGGGTCTTGTGACTTATCGGACGACTGCTGTTCTTTTTGATGAGGGCAAATCTGATACTCGATATAAGAATCGCATTGCCTACGTTGTGGCTCACGGTTAGATTATTGAACCGTCATTCTTGAAAGTCCTTTACCTAACATTTTTTCCCCTCAGAATTGGCCCACCAGTGGTTTGGCAACCTTGTCACAATGGACTGGTGGAATGAGCTTTGGCTCAACGAGGGCTTTGCAACATGGGTCGGTTGGCTTGCTGTCGATCACTTTCATCCTGGTAATTATGGCCCCCCGCTGGACGCTTTGCGTAGGAATATCTAACATGGTTGAATAGAATGGAATGTTTGGTCGCAGTTTGTCGTACGTAACACACGAGGTATTTCTTTCGGAGCATCATTGACAAGGATATAGGCTGAAGGTGTTCAACAAGCATTCCAACTTGACTCCATGAGGGCATCCCATCCAATTGAGGTCCCCGTGAGAAATGCCCTCGAGGTCGATCAGATATTTGATCACATCAGTTACCTCAAAGGAAGCTCGGTGATCAGGATGTTGAGTGACCATCTAGGTCGGGAGACCTTCCTCCGTGGAGTTGCAAAGTATCTCAAGGCTCATGCATACGGTTAGAACTAAGAACTTCATGCAAATCGTCAGCCAACACTTTACTAAACTTCCCCCACAGGAAATGCAACAACGAACGATTTGTGGTCTGCTCTTAGCGAGGCTTCAAACCAGGATGTCAATCGCTTCATGGCAAGTCAAAAAATCTCGGGCTTTATCCTCTGTGTGCTTATATTCTAATGCGTGTGATTCAGGACCCGTGGATCCGTAAGATCGGATTCCCTGTTGTAACGGTGGCCGAAGAACCCGGGCAAATAAGCCTTCGTCAAAGTAGATTTTTGTCGACAGGTGACACGAAACCTGAAGAGGATGAAACTACATGGTGGATTCCGCTCGGCATCAAGTCGGGTTCGCAGCTGTCAAACATCGACTTACGAGCCCTCGAATCCAAGACCGATACCGTGCAAGGTGTGGGACAAGATACCTTTTACAAGATAAATAGAAATCTCTCCGGCTTCTACCGAACAAACTACCCTCCGAAACGACTTGCCAAGCTTGGTCAGTCGCTTGACCTTTTGAGCACTGAAGACAAGATCGGGTTGATTGGTGATGCTGCTGCCCTTGCTGTATCTGGAGAAAGTACCTCTGCGGCTTTACTAGCACTCTTGGAAGGCTTTAAGACAGAGACAAACTACTTGTGAGTTCCTTCTTCTTGGGTATTTCAAAATAGTTCTCACAATTGTGTCGCAGGGTGTGGTCTCAGATCTCGTCTTCCCTTGCCCATTTGCGCTCCGTCTTCTCTCAGAACAAAGAAGTGGCTGCAGCCTTGAAGACTTTTACTCTCTCGTTATCTTCTCCTGCTGCCGAGAAAATCGGCTGGGAATTCAAGCCTGATGATGACTACCTGACAATACAGCTGCGAAAGCTTTTGATCGCAATGGCTGGAAACGCTGGTCACGAAAGGTGAGCTGAGTCTGCATACTTTAAATGGGGTTGTGTGTGGTACAGCTAATCAAACCAGCATTATCAACGAGGCCAAGTGTCGCTTCGATCTTTGGGCTTCCGGAAAGGACAGACGCGCTATACATACGAACCTTCGCTCTGCCATCTTCAATCTCAATATTTCCCAAGGAGGCCGCAAGGAGTATGAACTCGTTAAGGAAGAATATCTGACGACTGACTCTGTCGATGGCAAGGAAATCTGCCTGTCTGCGCTTGGACGCACCAAGAACACTGATCTCGTGAAAGAATATCTGGACTTTGTCTTCTCAGACAAAGTTGCTATCCAGGATATACACAACGGGGCATCCTCTCTTGCCGCGAATTCTGAAGTTCGCTATCTGCTATGGGACTATATGAAGAGTTCCTGGGATGCTGTTGAGACTCGACTGTCTTTCAACAACGTTGTCTTCGAGCGCTTTGTGCGCCTGGGTCTCGGTAAGTTCGCTGACCTCTTTGTCGCAGAGGAAATTTCATCCTTCTTCAAGGATAAGAACACCGATGCATATGATCGGGCTCTTGTGATTGTTGCGGACAGCATTCGCACGAACGCCCGTTATAAGGAGAAGGACGAACTGCTGGTGCTAGAGTGGTTGCGTGCTCATGGCTATGCTTGAAGTCGGGGGTTTTTTTTAACCATCCTTTCTACTCTATAACCATAAAACATTCTCGGGGCTATGTATTAACACTGGACTTAGCTGGGTCTTTGTGTTATGAACTGTCGCTGCTTTTGAGAAATCGTCTCTATGGAGCTGATCGATAGAAATGGCATTTTCTGCCTCCGTCCAAATTTATCTTTTTAGTCCAAGGGTGCTGATTCCAGCTTTAGTTAAGACTAAAATTAGAAGCTCTAATTTCTTACTCTGAAGTAAGTCTTCACGCGCATATATAGTAAGCTGTAATAATAATAGCTCACCTTTGCACATCTGTTACTCCTAATAATAAACTCTCCAGATTATCTTATCAACCTTCGAGGAACTTCCATAAAGCTATGTAGATATTAGTGAAATGACATTCGTCAGGAGAAGGCAGTGTAACTACCTAAGCTACTGAAGGGAGGAGATGGGCCATCCACTAGTATGATATTAAAAGGCACTATATGGGATCCTAAAGGAGAAAACGAAAGCCAGAGCAAAAAGATCAAGTGAGGTGTAATATAGCAGTACCTAAGAAAAAAAAAGACGGAGCAGCAAAAGGCACTGGACATATAGTTCAGCGAAGTCACCAAGGTTGCATAATCAAGACGACGTATATACCTAAGGTAGTAAGGGGGTGCTAGGAGTCTTCTATTTAGTTTAACTATTTTAATCTATATGATACCACTAGGTACCAGCTAGGTTAGGATTCAAGAGCATCAAAATAAAAGTAGAAATATGAGTAAGGGACCTAAAAGAACTGATGCCCAAATGTCATAGTCCATCTTTATGTTTTAATGTCTTTTCCTCAATCAAGATCATATGAGGTAAATAGATTAGAGGTAGTGACGACAAGAGTTTCCACCTGGGTCTTTAAACACCGTCACTGTTGTAGATTATCTAATAAGGAGTGAAGGAGAAGAAGAAGAACGAAAGAAACCAAAATATGCTCCTTCTATGGTCTCGTGTCTAACAGTGCGGTGAAGAGCCCCGATTGGATTATAGGTTCAGTCGGGTCAGCAGCCTGTGACCTCCTGAGGTACTACTCCATAAATGTACTAGCCTACTCCATTTCGCTCTAAACCCAAGTGGGACTTGCACGTTTGGCTCTCCTGCTTTCCTGCACTACCTAGTTAGCAACGCAACCATCATTCCAGGTCGCTGCTCCAGTTGTATCAACGTCGCGATAACTATCATCTACCTACCTGCAAGCCACGCACCTATCCAAGGACTACTACTTTCTTCGCTCTGTCCTTTCCCATTCCTTTTGACAAAACTACAGGGACCCTTGTTCTCGCGGATCCTTCTTGCCAGCTGCTCTAGTCATTCACCGTTTCTTGTTTCATTATGAATCCCGAGTGGTAGGTTCTCTTGAATTGCCCACACACAGTGGCTTCACTTGATGCCCCCATACCACTTTGATTTATATTTGTTGATATGAACGTTTCTTTTTTCGATTTCGGTACACATGAGCTAACTGTTTCTTTTTCTAGAGTATCTCATTTTCGGATAGGATCCCCTCCCTACCCTGGCGAAAGCACACCTGCCCCCGTCAACGTTGACTCCTATAATCCTGACCGTACTAGATACGACTACCTGTTCAAGCTTCTGCTCATCGGAGATTCCGGTGTCGGAAAGTCTTGCTTGTTGCTGCGTTTTGCTGATGATACATACACGGAGAGCTACATCTCCACCATTGGTGTGGACTTCGTACGTCGCTCGGTCCCAGGCGCCACTATTCAGATCTCTTCCTCTGTTCTAACCACTAGCCGCTTTAGAAAATTCGGACCATTGAACTGGATGGCAAGACCGTGAAGCTTCAGATTGTAAGTCAACAATGTTTGTTCAGAATGGCGTATGGCTGACCTTGTTGTCTAGTGGGATACCGCCGGTCAGGAGCGTTTCCGTACCATCACGTCTTCTTACTACCGTGGCGCCCATGGCATCTGTGTCGTCTATGATGTTACGGATATGGACTCGTTCAACAACGTGAAGCAGTGGCTTCAGGAAATCGACCGTTACGCTACCGAGGGCGTCAACAAGCTACTTGTTGGCAACAAGAGCGATATGGAGGACAAGAAGGTTGTGGAGTACACAGTAGCGAAGGTAATTATTTCCCGCATTTTTTTTTATTATTTCCATCTTGGACATTCTCGTGGATCTGTGTCGATGGATTTTGCGATGTTCTTTGGTGTTAACTCTTCCCTTCAACCGTTTAGGAATTCGCCGACAGCCTTGGGATCCCTTTTCTGGAAACGTCCGCTAAGAACGCCTCGAACGTTGAGCAGGCTTTCTTGACCATGGCACGGCAAATCAAGGAGCGCATGGGAACCGCCACTGTCAACAACAAGCCCACCGTGCAAGTCGGCCAGGGCCAGGGAGTCCAGTCTGGCTCTGCAGGTGGCTGCTGCTAAATCCATTTACAACTGCCACAATAATTATGCGATGCCTCCGCTGGACACTGAACACTTATATCGTGAAGGAGGTTTCCTAATCGGCGTGATTCCAATCAGGGGTGCTCTGACCCCTTCAGATTGTCTTCAGATTGTCTCTTTTTGAAATCTCAGCGCAGCCGAGATCTCACGTCGAAGCCTAATTATTTCTGATGGTTTTATGGTTGAAATCACTGCTGGGGCTTGTTTTCTATCTGTTCACCATGCTTAGATGGCCTGCACTTTGTTCCGTATATTTTTTTTTCTTTCTTCAGTTTCTTTCCCATTTCCTTACGTGGTTACTTCTGGTGCTTCACATGTCACTGTTCCTGTGTTGTTCTTTCTTTGGTCTCTTCTGCGGTATCTTTCTATCCCATGTCTCCACCACTTCGGTTTGTCTTTCCTAGGTTGGGCCTCCTTACGTATCTCGCTTCGAACATGGATTATTGATCGAGAATCATCGGTATTTGGAGACAATATCTTGGAAGAGATCTTTCATCGGCTATACTCCACTTAGTCCCAAGTCTCAACCGTGTTTAGGCTCTTTAGTTTGACATCCACCCAGGAAGATAGCCCTTTGGTGTCCATGAGTAGAAATGGCATGTCCCACACTGGGTGGTAGTCATAATCATTACAATCGCTGCCATTGAGAAGTCATTGCGTCGAGCCTTTCGCAGGTGACCCAACTAGCATAACACAAACGCTGTCATTTGACAGGGAGATGGTGGATATCACCCGGACTATAGAATTGAACTCTGTCACATTGCCTCTCAAGCGGGGGAATGTAAGAGGTAAGTTAGTTCCAAGAAGCCAACATTGTGGATGCTAATCTACTGTGAGCTTAAATTCATGTTCAACAGTAAATAAGGATATGCAGTCATTCCACTTACGTCATACTAATAGTAGGACATGAAGTCATCCTTCTTGTCATAGTTAACTAAGCTGTATGTGATCAATGACCACAAAAGTGATACTGGCAATAACCAGTAGCTGCGGTAGCATGATTAACCCTGTCGCCCAAGCCAAGTGATCAATGGGCAACTGACTGGAGCTGCCTCATGAGCGCATCAGCTGAACAGTCCCGGAAATCCTGAATCCGTCCCTGATCTTACCCAATCATTATTGTGTGTAGAAGATATAATAACACTCGTTGATTTAGTTCCTAAGCGACAGACAATTTACAGATATGGCGAAACGGCTGTACTATACTCTATACTCGTTTGGTTCTTGACCTTATAAGGACATTCACGATGGTCAATCAGTCTTGTATATGTAGTTGCATTACAGTGCTCATAAATACGTGATTCCTAAGGATATCTGATCAAAAAAGAGAATAATATTTACAGGACTTCAGGCTTGACGACCTGCGGTGCCACCTCATCCATCCACCAGGCCCATACGGAATCCTCCACTTCGGCCAAGATTCTCTGGTAATAGTGACCGACTCCCGGCGCTTCCTTAGTCTGGAAGTTATACTTGAGGTCGCGCATGCGGTTGATCATGCGGGGCATCGCCTCGACCAGGCGGAAGCCCTTCTCCCCCGACGGAATGCGGGTGGGCATGTCGCCTGCCTTTTCACGGCAAGCCCCCGCCACAAAGTACGGATGAGAATGATCCCAGAAGTCTTGATGCGGGTCATTCATTCGACCTCGTCCTCCATCTTCCAGAGGACGGCGGGGGCAATGGCCGAGGCGGCGCAGAGGATATCAGGGTTGTTCAAGGCGACAATGGAGGGTTCCGTAACTGTCAATTATCAGTAAGCGTGGATAGTGGATTGGTTATTGATATAGATAACTCCACCCTTCCATTGAGGATCCTTCAAACCACCGCGCAGACTTGTGTCGAATGGTCCGGAAGCGCGTAATGATCGCATTGACGAGGTCATTCTTGATAATCGTGGCCAGGGGGCGAGTACCATCGTAGTTATCGATATACCGTCCCTGAGGAAGGACCTGAACACCCCCCTTTCCCCTCAGCGTCAAATTGGAGATGGAAAACACTCCTGCTTTTGTTTCCGTACCTGGGGGGGCAACAATGATGCATTTCGGCATCAGACCCTCCTCTATCTTTTGCCCGTGGAATTGGAGCGCCCAATGGCACGAGCGAGAGGTCTGGAGACCGCTATGAAGCCAGTATAGGACCGGGTAGCTTTCCTCGCCCGCCTCGTACCCGGGGGGTAAACGAAGTAGGTAGGAGCCCTGGAAGCCTGTTCCGCGGGTTGTTTGTAGGTAAACCTTGGCCGAGATGTCCTTGGAGATGTTGATGACGTCCGGATCGATCCATGCATTGAGAAAGATATCATCTTCCATGATCATAACACCGTGGTTCTCTCAAAGGTCAAGGTAGCCAAAAAAAAAAAAGAAACCCATTAAAATATTAAAGATTGAAATGAACAGAATAAGTGAACGCTTCCAGCAAAGACTTACCGTTCCACTGAGTAGGCATCGGGGGGAAGAGCTCGCGCTGCATGATGGCAGTGGTACGCACGACGATGGCTGCGGTGAAGAGGAATACTGGCTCCTATACCTATGCTTTCTGGAATGAGTAGATATGATAGCAGCGAAGGCAGTCATTCTGGCAGCTAGCGAATTCATATATAACTTGTAGTTAGCTTACAACAGCTCGGATATCGAGAAGCAATGCTCGCTTAGTTCGGTTGCCTCGAAAACACTGAGGGTTACTTCGGCTGTTTGCCAGTCTAGATCATACCTTGACAGTATTGAACCTGTTGGCTGATTTCTAATAAAAATAATTCTTCAAATCAGCTTTTGGTTTTGTTTTGATCCTTCCCTCGCATTTACTCTTCCCCATAATCGACAGCGATCCCCGGGCATTCAACAGTCTCTTCACTTAGTATTGATGTAGCAAGCCTCGTTCGACTATAAATACGGTAGAAACGGGGATGGCTTGGAATAAGAAATCTCAATTAGCATCAGTTAGTCACTATACTACTTACTATTAATATTATAAAAGAGTATAGGGGTTTTATCTTAATTATAAATGAAAGTCAGAGCTCAAGAGACGGTTTAATCATGACTTCTAGGAAATCCGGGATACCTCTTTGCTGGATTAAGTAATAATCATAAAACAATTATAATGCTTTATTTCAACTAAAGTGAGCACTGTGCGATCGAGCTCAGCAGCAAACCGACAATGAGACAGCAATAGAAACGCCCATTAGTAAAGGACCAAGGCCTATTCTGGATCCTCAGCAAACGCGGTAGATCCGATGCACACTGTAGAGCAAGTATTCAGCACTCAAGAATTTCTCCAAGTAGAGATATCCGAAGATACCGTAAGAAGGAGTCTTCTCCGAGACCTACTACTTGGGCATTTGTCAGCTACTCGTAAGTGTCGGATGAGGCTTGCGTTATTTTGTTTATAGGATCAGTATGAAATGAATACCCACAAGACTATAAGATGATTATAGTAGATTTAGCTAGCTATATGATATCTATACTCTCTCCTATAGTAGTATCTTCCTCTTCTAGTTATCTTATACTGAGTACCCTCCTAAAGTCTACCTAAACTTCTATCTAGAGTAGGCTCTGGACGCCAGTGCTAGCTGTCACCCTAGGATCTAGTTCCTTGAAGAGACGCCATTGTTCTTTCTGAAGTGTATTGATTTTTTCGGGATGTTCTAGATCAGGTTTCCAGTTTCAAAAGCTGGTCGTCTTGAGTAGTATTTGATATGATAAAAAACAGTATTCTCTCACTAGAGGAGGAAGAACAAGTCAAGTTGCTACAGAGTACTTAATAGTCAATCAACTAGGGAAAACATATGGATAATAATGACAGATCCATGGATCCAACTATCTGGCAGTTGCCTTAAACAGATGGCACTAAGCCTATCATGACAGACCTGCGGGGACTCCTGCCGTATACAGGATCTAGGGCCAGGGCTTAGGGCTTAATAATAGGGTTACTATCTGCTTATCGCGTCAACGGCTGCGCAGTAGGACGTAAATAATGTTATGCTTAAGGAACTATCCAATGAATTAATTCATTGAGGCATTAACTGGGACATTTATTGTGAAACATTTATATTACTCAAGGACTCACTTAAGGAGTGAATTAAAGAATTAATAAAGTTATTAACCTCCTGGGCTGCAGGCGTTCACCTTGATAGTCGGGAGCATGAGGGGGAAAGAGACTAAGCATTGAATAGAAAAGAAGGTTCGACAGTGAATATTGGGTAGAAAGTTCCTCGCTATAAATACCACCACTGCTGCTTCTACTACTTCTGTTTCTGCTTGCACTGCTGCTGCTGCTACTACTACTACTACTACTACTACTACTACTACTACCTTTACTTCTGCTTAGCAACAGCAACAGCAACAATAACTACTAGCACTAGCACTACAATAGCCAATGAGTCTGCGTGACTGGGGGGGCGGCTACTCCTGCTGCCGGAATCCATCTGCTGCTGGTCGCCCTCCAGGTTTCTCTGATACACTTGACGATCGTATGAATCACCTGGGGGTGGTACTGCAAGTGCTAGATAATCATAATGTCTCCATTAGACCTGCAGTCGAATAATAGGCCGTCGGGTTTTCTGTTTTGGGCTTGGGTAACCCTATCCTGAACCCTTACCACCCTCCTTGTTTTTCTGCTCCTGCTGCGGTGGGCAACTGCGGCGATCAACTAGTAAGTTGATCTCTCATGTTTCTTAAATTAGTGTGGAAGTGAGGGAAGATCCTGTGCTTCGCCTGTGCCTGTTGCTTATGGCTATGCCAATTGCTCGTGGCTCTGCCTCTTCCCATATATAGTTATGTTTCTGACAAGAATAGTTGCTCAGGCCCGCCGCCGTCTCCGATGCCACCGCTGCCGCTGCCACTGCAGCCTCTTCTGCAACTGCCGCCAGTACCGCGTCCGCATTTACTCCTCCTATTATAGCAGCGCTAGAGACGGCGAAAGTCTCCAGAAAAGCTTGTCTGCATCTAGCGGCAATCGCCCGGCGCAATGGGCTAGGCCGTCTGTGACCAACAGCGTCTGTTGAGACCAGCTGATGGAGGAGGGAGTGGCGCAGAATCACTAGGTCGATAAAAAATCTCCTTCTCTCCTTTTCTCCCCAGTATCCCGTGCTCTCACCCTGGTATGTCTCTTGTTCGCAAGGTGGTGTTGCAGGAAGTTGTGTTCGCAGCTGACTAGTGGTAGCATCACGGATAGCTCTCGCTGCCCCTCATCTCTTTCCTCTCTCTCCTCTCTGGAGTTGAGCTCAGTAAGTGGTTCGCTGGGTGAGGTTTTACGGGCTTAGCTAACTTCTAGCCTTCTCCCGCCCCCCTCTCCTCCCGCGCCGCCCGTGCTGCTGCCCGCGAACTGTGGACTGTGAGGAGACGTATATACTGTTTATATAAGATAGTCACTGACTTGACAAATTGATACAGGTCTGAATAAGTTGCCTGTGATTTGTTTTGATTTGTTTTGATTTGTTTGTCCTGTTTGTTCTAATTTTTATTTTCTCACGGCTGCCTATCGGGTCCCGAGTCCGAGGCAACTATCATGTGACTGGGGGATATGGATTTCAGCATGTTTTCCCGTAACTTCGAACAACCAGCAGCATCTGGTGAAACCTCGGTTTGAAATAATAAGCATGCGAAACTAGACGCATGGCATGATATTGAAATAATAGGTAGATAACCTTCGCTTCCTTTAGCAGGTTACCCTTTTACAACTGGGCTGTACTTTGAACGTTCATGTCTCTTTCTGATTAATCTAGAATAATATCAACAAATTTATATTAATTGAAAATAGCAATGATTCCAGTGATTCCCAACAAGAATAATGTTATGCTGTTATGGAGTACACTCGGCATGGTCAAACTCTTGTGTCGTGATAACACTAAATGGTCAGAGCCGAGGCAGAAGGTTCGGTAAAACGTCATGGGTCTTATCCCGCCATAGTTATGTACGGAGTACCATACTTTGTACCGCAGCAGCGATCAAATAGGTCAACTAAATAAACCCATTCCCTTCCATCGCACAAGACCCTACGCTCTTTTTATCTATCTATCCTTTTTCCAACCTGGAATCTTCGCTGCACATCCGGTTGTCCAGTTGGTCCGATAACTCTCCTTATCTCGCTCCCTGCGGCCCAGTCACGAGTATACTGTAACAGTGATTACTCTAGCTCCTAGTTTCAACCTCCACGATCTCCGGTTCACTAGCCACATACCATCATGTCTGCCTCTAGGATCGATGAACAGAAGAAGTCTGTTGCGGCCGCGGCTGCGGCCCAGCAGAGTGATAACATAGCCCACGCTTTGGCTGGCGCAGGAGGGGGTATTCTGTCGATGGCCCTGACGTACGTTTTGAAGAGAAACGGCAGTCGGTAATGCAGCGTGGAAACCATCTATTTAGCTAACCACCATATACATCTGCAGATATCCCCTCGTCACCCTGTCGACACGAGCCCAGGTTGAATCGAAACGGGCGCAATCGTCGACTCTTGACGCAGTCCGTCGTATTGTCCAGCGCGAGGGGGTGGCCGGGCTTTACTCCGGCCTCGAATCGGCGCTTTTCGGGATCAGCGTCACCAATTTCGTCTACTATTATTGGTATGAATGGACTCGGGCGGCTTTCGAGAAGGCCGCGGTGCGGGCAGGCCGAGCCTCGAAAAAACTCACAACCGTCGAGTCGATGATTGCAGGCGCCATTGCCGGCAGTGCTACGGTTTTGATCACGAACCCCATCTGGGTCATCAACACGCGAATGACGGCTTGCAAGTCTGAATCGGATGAACAGGGCCTGCCCGGTGGGCAGGCTAAGAAGAAAGCACGCCCATCAACGATCAGCACGTTGATTGAGCTCTTGCGGCAAGAAGGACCCAAGGCCCTGTTTGCTGGTGTTCTCCCAGCCCTGATCCTTGTGATCAACCCTATCCTGCAGTATAGTATTTTTGAGCAGCTTAAAAACATCGTGGAACGGCGGCGCCGAGTCACACCCAAGGATGCCTTTTATTTGGGTGCTTTGGGCAAGATCATGGCCACCTCCATCACATATCCGTATATCACGGTTAAAAGCCGAATGCACGTTGCCAGCAAAGACGGGCCGAAGGAAAGCCTGAATGGAAGTTTGAAGAGAATCATCCAGGAAGAAGGTGTTGTCGGGTTGTACAGAGGTAAGACTTTCTTGAAGTATAATAACAAATTACTTATATGGGTTCTCTTGCTTCAGGAATCGCACCCAAGGTCACCCAGAGCGCCATCACTGCAGCCTTCTTATTTGCATTCAAGGATATATTATATGATATGATGGTATCTGCTCGTGGAAGAGCTCGCGCCATCAAGAAATAGAAAAGGTTGAATCTTTCTTTTATTTCGCCTGGCTTGGGAGAAGATGAAGCCTGAGTCTCAATTCTGGTTCATCCTATTCAAGTGGCAGCCCTTTGGATGTCTCTTGATGGATCTAATGTCTGTTTGTCCATCATATTGTCATACTCCCAATATTTCTGGTCACATTGAAGTGGCAAAAGTGGTATTTGAATGCCGTTATTCTAATCCCATGCCTAATAAGTTTTAGAAGCTAATATAGCTTCAGATGTAACACTAAATACAGATAAAAAAAGAATTATTAACTTTTTCTTTTTCTTTTTTGCAAGATAAATGAGATAATTATGGCATGTCATATATATGACAACTTGTTCTGCGGATAGGTACCTTACTACCTTATGACCTGTCATAAATCTGGAAAGAGGAAGCACGTCTAGAGATCACCCACTACCTTAACAGGCAGCATTATTTTCCTATATGCACCTACATTTAACTAAGGCCAAGTTATAGGTGACTTAGAGAAGCAGCCTTTAAACCAAGTTCATCAGGCCTCAACCTTTAGGCACCTTCAACGTCATTCACCTACTTTTAGCTTTATTAATGCTCCCTGAGTCCCAGGATTTTAAAAATAACTATAGGCTATATATTCCTATTTAGAGTTATTATTATAAGTATCAAAAGACTTAATGTAGAATAATATAAGGGGAAAATACATACCCTATGCTAGAAACCGAGGCTTCACCGCCTTCTATTTAAAGTACTTCCTATCTAAAATGGATACGCCCATTTCGCGCGAGAACGCGTCGTCTAATTATCTCTATTCACCAGCTACCAATTTCCTTCGCGTCTTCTTTAGATTCAAAGCCAGTTCTTAAACTGCGATTTTCACTGGCATAGACGTCCACTATTTCTAGTCTTCTGGCCCCCCGCCCTGTGAAATGCCAGTCTCCTGCTGGCAGATTTGACTGAGCACGGCCCTGCGACCGCCCTCTTTTCTTGCTAAAAGCCAATATAGTTACGAGTCAGTGTGTTTTTTGGCGATACTACTCTACTCCGAATACCCAGTGTCCCCAGTGTTGGCCCCCTGATATTGACGAGCAGCTGGCACTTATAGAACCTCTTTCTTTGTTCATAAGCGCCGTTTCGTGGATTCGATTCACAATTTTGCCTATACTTTGGCTTTGTCTCATATTACATGGGACTTCATGACTTGCACTGCTTCCATGTCTTCAAGATTCATGTCCTTCGGCCGTGGATTAATAATTACAAGGCGATAAGAGATTGCTAGCGGCTTTCCATTGACCTCTTCCATCTACAATAATGCCTCCTGATAACACAACAATAAGTACGAGACCTCTTCCACTCTACAGAACAACAGCCACTGCAGACAATGAACTACACATCAGGCCACACCAATATGCATTGGAATCAAGCAACACCCAAAATAACCTGAGTCCGGATGAAGAGGCGCGGATTCTGCTTGCGGAGTTCATGAATAAATCCCGTAAAGCTCCCGCGGAACAAAAATCAATTGCGAAGAATCATGACCGGCAGAAACTGCAACGTCATATGTCAATGAAGCCAAAACGCCAACTGCGCGAGTCCTCCTACTCCTCTTCTTCGGAAGCTCCAAGAGCTCGGATTCCCAGGCGTTTCGTGTCAAGTGAAAACAAAGAGAACGTTGACCTCGCAGTCACGAACATCTCTCCTTCATCGGAGATTCCCCAGAAATCCCGACGGTCTGGTCGCCCCATCAGCAGACCACGAAACTACTATGCGAAGATAAGGATAGGAGAAGAAACTACAGAGGAGGAGACGACGAAAGTCACCATCAGGAAAGCCCCAGTGGCCGTTAGGAAGAATGAACCTACTCGATATTCCAAGGAAGCGCCGAGAAAGCCTTCGTCAGGGAAATTATTACGAGATCGTGAACTCGGCCTGTGCCGCGTCTCTCAGCGCCAGCTGCACAAAGAATTCTCCCAAAATCTCAAGATCAGCAAGAGGTGGAAAGGGGCATCTAACGATGTCCTTGTCCTGACATGGTCTCCCAAAGGAACGCAATTCGCTGTTGGCGCAGCAGCAGAGAGCGATGACCTGAATATGGACTACAACCGCGGCAATAATTTGCTACTTGGAGATCTGACGAGGAATTCCTTGAAGGAACTTCCCGACCACTGGGTGCAGCGGCCTAGGAGAAGGAATCTGGCGCTGAACACCACTGCTGACCGACGCCTTTTCATGAGCGTCACAGCCATCCAATGGTATGAAGACATGCTTCTGACCGCTAGCTATGATCACACGGTGAAGCTGTGGGACGTTGCAAATTATGACCAGATCTCTTGCAGAAAGACCCTTCGGCATCGATCAAAAGTGAATCTCATGGCACGTTCACATTTCTACAGTAACTTGGTCGCAACGGGAACCCTTGATGATTTTACCTTGTGGGATCTTGAAGACAATAGCTCGAGTCCTCTTGAAGCTATCAAGGGAAAGCAGGCTAAAAACATTATTGAATACACGCCTACTGCGTTGGTTTGGGGGCAAACCAATGTGACGAAGAAGTTCCTTGTGGCAGGGATGTCCGAGAAAGTTCCAAATCAATATATCACTGCTTCATCCGGTCAGCTCGCTGTTTGGACCGCCTCTGAAACCTCGATGGCACCCATACAGATCAGTCCAAGCGCCCAGAATATTTTTGATATAAAATGGCATCCGACAATGCCAATCTTCGTCACTGGCAGCTCTCGACCGAAACTCAATATTAACGGTGCGGCAAAGGATACGCGATCTGTTGTTCGAATATATGAGCCTTTCGTGTCCAAGCGAAGCACTATGGAGCTCGATTGTCCTGCACTGGATATGAACGACGTCTCGTTTTGCCCCGTTAATCCAAACTACGTCTCTGCAAGTTGTACGGATGGAATAACATATGTCTGGGATATCCGCGATCCTTCGGAAGTTCTTCACAAGCTCGAGCATGGCTATCCGATCAATCAAATCAATGAGGAAGTATCCAGAGAGCAAGCTGATGTAGGCGTGCGAGTTGCCTTGTGGGGCAACGAGATCGATGCGTTCTACACAGGGGCTTCTGACGGGGTTCTAAAGAGGTGGAACATCCTGCGATCACCGGAGGATACCCTTGTTGAAAATACAGCATCCTTGAAGGAGGAGATCATGTGCGGGACATTTTCAGACGACAAAACCAATCTTTTGATCGGAGACGCTGCCGGCGGGATCCATGTGCTGTCGTCTGGTCCATTTTGGAACACAGATGAATGCGATATGAACCTCGAAAGCGCCCCCGAGCCCGCCTCATCGTCGCAGCCACTGTCGTCGTCCACCGGCGCTGACCCGGAATCCGAATCTGGAGTTGAAATCGCGAATCGTCTTCTTTCCTCTGGTGCGCTGGAGAGACATCCAGTCTTCGGAGTGGGTCAGGGGCCAAACTACAAAGGGCCGTATGCCCGCTGGGCGCGACGCAGCAAAGACAATAATGTTCCAATGCATGTTCTAGCCAAGAGTCCTCTCACTCCCGAGGTGCAGCAGTGTCAGCTCTCCGGTCTCCCAGTGGATAAACGACCAGGACTAGACAACCATACTCGAGAGGAGATCAAAGCGCAGATCCGGCTTGCCCGGACACGCAATTACAAACGGAATAAAAAAAAGAGGAAACGAAAGCATTCGTCGCACCGAAACGACGATGACAAGGAGAACACGAAATTCATCAGCCTGATCAGTGACGACGAAGGATGCTTCCAGCCATCAAAGGCGGAACCCGAGATCATCGATCTGACCATGGACAGCGACTCGGATAGTTCGAGCTCAGCTTCCCAGCCCCCGGATCCCTTCGACATTCGGGCTTTTCTCAAAGTGCTTGCAGAAAATTTGGAGGAAGATTACTGGTGGCCCGATAGCGGGCATATTGATGCGAACATCAACGACGGTGACGTCTGAAATGCTTGCCGCCAGCTTATCGCTAAACTGTATCAAGTTCTAGCTTCAGTACATAATGTTGATGAAGGATGTATGAAACATGGCGACCTGCTGTAGCTTGGAAGAAGTTGGTTTGTGGCACTGCACGACGATCAAAAAGCCAGCTTAGTCTAGACTCTAGAATACCATGAGCCCATGATAATAATGATTAATTCACTGCCTAATGGTCTTTGGATGTGGCTTAGAAGTACCGAGTGACTAGGTAACCACCTAGCTACCAACTAGTTAACTATGTAACTACCTAAGGAGCAACCTAACAGCGCTGACGTGGCGCCTGAACATCTGCACCGCCACTGCTTGCGTCGTCGCCGCGGAACCAAGCTCGGGTCTAACACACAGTATAAGTACGGCTCCGCGAGGAATTTTAGTTTACTTTGTCCATTCAAACAACAAACCATCTTCCCTTGAGAACAGGGTCTGCTGAAACAGGATACTTCACACAATCGAATTTCCGTCACACAACAGCCCCGGTGTCATGTCATTTGCCCCACCTCCTGGGCCTCCGCCGCCCATCGTTCCTGATGGATGGAAAGCGCAGTATGATGAGCGATATAAGCAGTGGTGAGTAAATGTCAAAGATCAATTCTTTTCCATCAGATGGATTCGTACTGATAGAAAAATTTCGACAGGTACTTCATCAATTTAGAGACCGGACAGTCACAATGGGAACCTCCCACCGCACCAGCCGAGCCTTTAGAGAGCATCGATGGACCGCCACCGTCGAACCGTATCCCAGAGGCTGGGTTAGCAGAGAAAGGGACCAGGGAGCAAGACACTTCGCTTGAAAGCGATGCCCGGCTCGCGGCCCGACTACAAGCGGAAGAAAATGCCCGCGCGGGGTCCTCAACCCCTGGTGCAGCGTCGGGGTATTACGATAAGTCCCAGAACCGGGGTGACCAACAGTCGGTGGCGTATGCGTCTCCTTCTTCTTCTGCTTCGTTATCGCCGGCTGTAAAGCAGGCCGATTCGCAGGCCGACCCGCAGACGCAGACGCGCAGCAGGGGATTTCTGGGGAAACTGTTTGGCAAGAACAGTGGCCAGCAGGGGAATTATAATAATAACTACAACCAGCAGCAGTATTATGGAAACCAGCAGGGTGGATATTACCCCCCCGCGCAACAGCCGTACGGATACAACGGATACCCACCCCAGGGAGCTTATTATCAGCAACAGCAGCAGCCTCCTCAGAGACGACAGGGTATGGGTACGGGCACTGCGGCGGCTCTGGGCGTCGGGGGCGGTCTACTTGGCGGCGTGTTGCTAGCTGATGTGCTTGAGGATCACCACCACTTTGGCGGGGGTGGATTTGGGGGGCCAGGCGGGTTTGGGGGACCGGACGGCTTTGGAGGACCAGGTGGATTTGGAGGACCAGGTGGCTTTGGAGGCCCGGGTGGTCCTGGTGATTTCGGCGGGGGTGGTTTTGGCGGAGGGGACTTTGGTGGCGGAGGAGACTTTGGCGGAGGCGGGGATTTCGGAGGCGGGTTCTAGTATTTGCGTTTACTGTACATACAGCTGTTTGATTGAGATGATAAACCAGGTACCCTGGATAGAGATGTCTCTGTCCATTATGTTGCTATAATGTAATATATCCTCTGCTTTTAATAAAACTATTCGCCTAGGTGGTTATACAGTTATACTTTGTATACCAAAAAGTCTAGGCGAATCACCTCTTGCGCGCTCTCTCGCTCTCCCTACCCGAAGCACTTGCCTTCCCCGAATCCATCCCAGCCATCGGCCCCGGCGCCGTACCAGCCATCCAGCCTGCGAGATCGAAATTCGCGGCCGCCGCACCGGGGGCAGAGCGGCCAGCGCCCGCAATAGGTGAGGCACGGGATTGTTTCTCGAACTCGGCGCGCATTTCAGGATCCACTAGATCGCCGTGATTAGCATTATGATAGTATTGTACTCAAAGAAGATATGCTTACTGTTCTCCATGAGCTTGGGCATGCCGAAAGTGAATAACATTGCAACGACAGCAAGTAGGATCATCGGGTTTTTGAACAGATCGAGCGGAGAAACTATGGAATAAATTAGCATGGCTTTTTTGTTTTTTATGTTTTACCTTTCCGAAATGCAAGAACACCTACATTGAGGTCGTTCAGCGTAAAAAGTCCGTCTGGCAAGGACCTTCGCCTCGATCACCACGTTGGCATTCACATCCGTATTCTCGCCACGAATATACCGTTCCCCGCCTCGGTTGTCCCACGCGTTACCGCGGAAAGTCTCCCAGACCCCCGACACAGAGCCGTGAGCGTCGACATCGACGCGGAAGGGCGCAAAGACGTATTCCGCCGAACGGATGTCGAGCAGGTACGATTCCGGGCCGGACAGATCTGGGAGATTGCGGAAGACAAAGGTTGAGGAGCGGGTGAGAGAGGCTGTAAGCAGGTTTTCTATCGGGGATTCTTTGCCTTCCGAATCTCCCCTCGATACAGCTGTTAGTGTTGCGTGAGTTCCTGCGGGGAGAACATGAGGGTTCGGCAAGACGTTGGTCGAGGGGATGGTGATGGTCAACGAGGACGCGGTGGCGGTCGTCGCCACCGCCGTGGCTAGGAGCAAGAGGCGGGAGAGGTACATATTAACAAAAAAGTTTATCCAACAAGTGCCTTTGCTGATTATTATGAAGCTGAGTATCAGTCTTGGTGCTCAATATGAGTTGCTGGCGGATGTCAGGAGCGGAGACGCTAGTGACTGGCCAGTCAGCGAGAACCATCAAACACCGTTAGTAACTAACTACTAGATAACTACCAGGAAGTCATAATGAAGAGAGATTAAATTTGCCAATGAAAATAGTAAAATAATATAAAACTAATTATTAGAATAAATTGTTCATACTAAGCGAATGCATTCGTCTAGTAATATTATGTTGATAGTATGTACTAACTATTCTTAATATTCTAAGTAATATAAACAACTCGAAAAAGAATCATGTATACCGAACAAGACGCAGCGAGTATAAAGCATATACTACAGTTTAGCCCTGGGAGAAGACTGTTCCTCAATTGCTTGAGCATAGAGCTGATCCAGCAGCTGGCGGAATACCTTTACCGTCGGAGGACGCTTCAATTTAAGCCTAGGAGAAAGAAGTTAGCACTGGCAAGAGTACTGGCAAGAGTACTAAGAGTTTCTGGTAAATGTAAAAAAAAAAAAAAGACTAACGTTGGTGTCAGAAGGTTGTTTTCCACTGTAAACGGCTCGAGTTTGAGCGAGACGTTTTTAATTCTCTCGTATCCGGCAAGCCTGTGATTCTTTGCAGCCTTTTCCAGGTCCTTCAGCACGGCTTTACGGATCTTCTCATCTGAGAGAGCGGACTTGATGGCGTCCATGTCCGTGGGTCCAATGTGGCGGCCGAGCACCTTGCTAGCGAACAGGGCAAAGGTGTCTGGTTGAACACCGAAAATTGCTACCAGGAAGTTTTGCAGACTGTCGCCGTGGACGTACGCTTGGGCAATGTAGCCGAGCTCCGAGAGGTAGACGCCCTCGAGCCGTTCGGGGGAGATGTATTCGCCCTGTGCCAATTTGAGGACATTCTTCCGGCGATCGATGATGACGAAGCGGCCTCTCTCGTCGAGCGTGCAGACGTCTCCCGTCCGGAACCAGCCGTCCTCCGTCATCGCCTTGGCAGTCTCTTCTGGGTCCTTGAAGTACTCTCGGAAGATGTTCTTGCCACGGACGAGCAGCTCGCCGCGCGGATACGGCTTGTCGTCGACGGAGTACTCCATGTCCGGCAAGGATTCCAGACAAGCCTCGATGCAGGGGGCAAGCCGGCCGCAGTTCCCACCGGAGAGATCCAGATGCGACTGAGTGCTCGCGATGGCATACGTCTCCGTCAGGCCGTAGCCCTGGGCAAAATCCGCGCTGAGGACGACCCGGAGGAAGCCATGCAGCGACGGGTCCAGAGGCGCGGAGCCCGAACACATGAATCTCACCTGGTCCAATCCAAGCGCCGCGGCTACCTTCTTCCCCCAGATCCGGTCGTACAGGGCGTGTCGGGTGGTGGCCTTTCCAGGAGCGACATCGGTCATGTTTGCCATTTTTGTAGCTACAACGTGGCGGGACAAGGCCCCCTTGAAGCCCGGCTGGTCGACTGTCGCGGCGCGGATGGCACTCCCGAAACGAGTGAACAGACGGGGCACGGACACGAATAAAGTAGGCCTCAACACCTTCATGTCATCGACCAGTTCAAGAATGTTGCCATGGAAGTACCCGATCCGACCACCTCCCCAGAGCGCCGCATGCTCTGTCAGACGTCCGTAGATGTGAGCCAGCGGCAAATAGGAGATCAAGGTATCGGATTTCCCTTGCAGGCCCATGCAGATAGCGCCAGATGACGCGGAGACGGCATTTTCATGGGTCAGAACGACACCCTTGGGATTGCCCGTCGTGCCGGACGTGTAGTTGATGGTCACGATATCCGACGTGGAAGGGGGCTTGCTTGCGCGGTTCGACGCCGTGCCTAGATCCTCGACCTGGTCCATGGTATAGATTGTGACATCCTCTCCGGTCGCGATAGACTCCAGAACCGCCCGTTTGGATAGACCAGGCTGGTCACCCGCGTCAAGCGGGTCCACACTGACGATGATCCTGAGGTTGGGCAGTTTCTGCTGTTGCTTGAGCTTGAGCAGGGTGGGTATATGCGGAAGTGAGGTGACCACACAGTGCAGCTCCGCGTGGTTGATGATGAATTCGGTTGCATCCGGGGCCAAAACATCGTAGATGGAAACCGAAAAAAGCGATTGGGACACACAGGCCAAATCTGCCAAGTTAGAAGAAGCACAGCTAACGAAAGAAAGAAATAATAATAATAATAAAAAAACCGTACCGGTGATCTGCCATTCCGGGCGATTTTGACACCACAACCCCACGCCATATTGGCCCTGACGATGGCAGCCGTGTTTCAGGTGCAGCTCGACCAATCCCGCACCAAACGCCAGACGCCGCTTCTCGACAGTCTCGTAGTTGATCCATACATACTGTCCGTAGCTCTTGGTCACCGGGTTCCAAGGACGATGCCCCAGGCAGTCATTCTTCGGATGAGATGCGGCGGCCGATTCGAACAACTCATGTAGCGTACGGACCTAAAAAAGGAGGAGAGAATCTCTCAGCCATCTGTTTGCTAACCATATCGAGTGCAAAATGTTGGTTACCTTGGGGTCGAGAGTCGTGACAAGCTCCCCGGTGACATTCCAAGTACGATAGATCGGACTCCGGCCCGGTTGCTCTGTGCCTGGTAAAGTGACACAATACGGCTTTCCAGCCGGGGGATCTTCCCGGAGCTCTGTGGCACGGGCGTGGTGTACAGGCGTGGAGAAGAACATGTCGAGGGTGTGAGGGTCTTGCTTTATAATAAAGGATAGAACAGGACACAACCACTCAACCCCAGGTAAGTCAATGGCAGCAAGGAGAGTGCACCCGGTTAATATGAACAAGGAGAACAGTAAAGAATAGAAAGAGGAATATACCCAGAGAGGAAGCACAGAGGGGGAAACCCCCCCTAGCGGATAACGGCAATCATGGGGAAAGCCTCAAGTGGACCTCGGCTCAGCAGTGACAGATTAACACTTACGGAGGACGCCTGAAGGCCAGCCTCGGTAGCAGTGGTGAATGGTGGAGTATACTAGTTATAGTTAGTTATAGTTATGTTACGTCATTGATGTCTGCTTTTGGAGATTATTACCTAGGTAGATGGCTATTAGGAGAACCACATACTACATGGCTAATTGAGGCCAAAGTGATTGTAGATACTGGACACGGACGAATATCTCTTCTTAGTATTCCCGAGGGATGATCTTTTCCCTTCCAACGTCGAAGCCACCAGTCAATCACTGGTTACTAGTGACTAGTTGTGTTTTGAAATGTGAGTTATTATCGTTATTAGTAAGGATTTTCAGAATAAGCATTCCAAGCATCCTTAGGTACATAACTATGTAATAATGATGGGTGTCTCATGCATAACTCATAGATAAGATAACCAGGGACTTGCATGTTATGCTCAAAAGTTAGGAGATGCTCAGTATAACTACATATATAATAAATTACCTCAACTCCACACATGCTAATATATAAACAAGAAAATCATGACCGATCGTCAATTTGATCGTCAAAACAGACATGGCAGGATCACCCGCTGATCAGCTGCCAGAGCTTGCCGTACCAGGTCGTGGGCGTGGTGGTCTCCCAGTACTCGTTCTCGATCTCGAGACGGCCTGTGTCGAGATCGGCCTCGAGGGGCTTGACAAAGGGATCGCGATAGACGATCTTGTGGCCGATGTACAGGACGGCAAACAGAATCAGACTGATGTAAGCAACGAAGAAGTCCGAGACACTGAACGTCGGGATCCACGCCGTGAACCCCTGCGTAAAGATGATGAGAATGTTGAATATCAGGCCGTAGTAGGCGAGGTAGGGCTGCCACATCGCCTTGTAAGGGAGCAGGTCGCGAGACATGTCGCGCGCCTTGAGGGCACGCATGAAAGCGATATGGCATGCGTTCAGGGAGGACCAGGTGATAAAACCGGCCACGCCTGCAATGTTCAGCAGCCAGTTGAAAACGGTGCTACCAGAATCGGAGACATTCATGAAGCCCAGCAAGCCAAATGCCGCGGTAAAGGCCACGCTGTAGTACGGCACGCCGGCCTGGGAGGTCTTCTTGAACCAGTGCGGGGCGTAGCCTTCCTGGGCCAGGCCAATTAGGATGCGGCTACCGCTGTACACATTAGAGTTGGCCGCGGAGAGAACCACAGTCAACAGGACGGCATTGATGATGCTTGGCAGGACCTTGACGCCCGCCAGGTTTGCCGCAATGACAAAGGGGGAGGCCGTGGCATTGGTGTCGCCAGAGAGCAGATCGGAGTTGGTGTATGGCACCAGAATGCCAATAAAGAAGATCGTCAGGATGAAAAAGAAGAGAATACGGATGAAGGTCTTGCGTATCGCCGAGGGGACGGTCTTGCGCGGGTTCTCCGTCTCACCGGCAGCAATTCCCACCAGCTCTGTTCCCTGGTAAGCGAAGCCGGCCTGGATGAGCACCGCCCAGAAGCCGACAAAGCGCGCCGTAGGGCCCGGGGAGAGAAGGTACGAAGCAAAGGCGCCCGGATGCTTCCAGTAATGGAATCCCAGATACCCTTCCTTGCCGGCGCCGGCATCGATGCAGATGGCGAAGATCATGAAGCCGATCACGGTCAAGACTTTGATGCTGGAGAACCAGAACTCCATCTCGCCGTAGAAGCTGACAGGCATGCAATTGAAGATCGTGATCAAGACCCAGAAGATGGCAATGAAAATCGAAATATTGATCGAGCTGTCCCAGTACTGGATGATCAACCCTGTAGCCGTCAGCTCGAGGGCAAACGTCGTCGCCCACGAGAACCAGTAGATCCACCCCATGGCGAAGCCAAGACTAGGGTCAATAAGCCGTGTCGCGTACGAGGTAAAGGCACCAGGAATGGGCATGTAGGTGGCCACTTCTCCCAGCGAAGTCATCACCGAGTAGACTAGGGACCCGACAAAGATGTAAGCAATGAGGGCCCCGGCAGGGCCGGCATGGGCAATAGCCGTGCCACTACCGATGAAGAGACCGGTACCAATCGTCCCACCTGACTTGTTAGCTTCCTACAAAAGAGAAGAGAAGACGAGAGAGAGAGCTCAAAAAAAGAAGAAACACTTACCAATGGCGATCATCTGAAGATGTCTGCTCTTCAGCTTCCGCTTCAGGTCCGGCAGGGGATTCGACTCCCTCCCAGCGCCAGCCTTCTCATAGTCGACATCATACCCATCCTGCGCATTGTTCTGGATCGAGTCATCGGGGGACATGGCTTCGTTGCCGGTGATTGGAGCCGTTTTCCTTCCCATGTTCACTTGGAGAAGAGCGAGGAAAGGAAGGACAAGAACGGAATTAATGAAAGGAAAAGAAACCAGGCCCCCACACTACTATTCTGGAGAAAGAACAGTTTGTCCGTCCGTCCGTCGGCAGCGTCTGCGGGAGGAGGTCGCCGGCCAGAGAATCCCGACAGAGCAGAGCAGCTAAAAATTAGAACCTCAAACAGGAGATAAGAGTTAAGAGCAGACAATTCATTTATGTAACAGGCACATATCAGTAGCGGAGTGAATCAACGGATGCCCAGTCTCCGAGTATTAATATTTGGTAATAGAAACCTTCTTCCCTGCCAGCCGGTAGACCAAGAGGCTCCATCTTTTGCCGCCCCGGGAACCGATAGGAAATTAACCCCATGGCCAGGCAAAATTCAGTTTAGTCTGTCGAAAACTTTGCTGCTAGTGTGGTTGAGCGAATGCTGGAACCATGTTCGGGCAGAGATTAGGAATGGGCAAACGTTTGGTTCTGTGCGGTGGCGAGAGTGAGGTTGTTTTCGGGAGTCAAATCTAAGCAGCAGAAATCGGCATCCCGACCGGCTCGTGGCTTGCTCGGCAGTTGCCATTTGTTCTATATTATACTAAGTATAGTAGTTGCAATCCTACAAGTAGTTATTAATACCCACTCTGTGGTCAGATAATTGTTCCTTATCTTTGGTTCTATTCTGATCTGTTCTAAAATAGCATTCGTCACTCTGCAGCTGTGTGGAGGTTGGAGCGTTTGAAGTGGGCTCGGAGATCACCGCAGATTAACTTCGCAACTAATTGACTAAACTATGGGTTGATCAGGTAGTTATCAAGTAATAAATTAATAACAAAGGTCAATGCTAGTTGACTAGTGATTCGCCAAGTATCAATCAATAATATAACTACAGGATATTCAATATCAGAATTGATGCGGTTGGCAATACGATATCTCGCGCGATCTGATCAGCAGGTAGGACGGGGAAAAAAGACATCAGCTAATAAACAGTATATAAAGGGCCGTAAGAATCATGGGTATATAACATATTCGTTCGTGTTGAGATAGCGTTCGTTCGTTTCGAGATAGCGAGGCCGATGGTGTATTTAAACACCCGTGTGGACAGCGGCATTCGGATTCGCTTTCACACCGTTATTGCCTCGAGAAGTGAAGACAGCCATGACATTGATGGTGGTGGTAGCAGCGAACAGTGCCCTAGCCACCAGATCAGTTAGCATATGATTCTCTCCCGAGTCTACCTAGGCAGCCAGAATAACTGATTGGCCTCTCACCATTCAAAGGCACCAAACACCGTTGCTGCCTGCAAGGAGTCACACAGACTACTGTGACAGGCCCGTGGCGGTGGCAGTACACAGGCCAATGCAATGAAACCGGCAAACCAGAAGATCATGGTGACAGCCTCCATGCCGACAACGATAAACGGGTGCACGATGCCTGCGAAGAAGACCGGCGCTAGGACGATGTACGGCAGCGCGATGACAAGCGTCCACACGCTGTTGAAGAGCATGAAGTTCACCGTACTGGGCGACCACCACGAGTAATAGTCGTCCCAGTTGATCACTTAATGTAGTGACAGGGCGTTAGAAACAACACGGTCAAAATATGCAGGGGTCAAGCAGGCTGCAAGGGCTCACCATAGGCAGTCAGTCCGAGGACGATCACAGCGAAGATGGCCTGAACCACCCGTACGATGGTGACCCAGGAAGAGGTGTAGGCCATTTTCTGCAGATCTAGGGAAGATATTTGACAGTGGCTATCGAGGTGTTGGGTAGTAGTTCCCTGGGTGGTTTCTATCCATTCGCGTCTGGGGTTAGTAGAAGACTAATCAAAGGCTGCAGAGACTCACAAGATATCAGTTTTGTCAGTCCGAGAATAACTGTAGAAGATTAAAACAAAAAAACCGGGGATGGAGGACTGGTAATAAATATTAAGAAATCAGGGTCTTTGGCCCTCTGTCGATCATCAGCGTCATCGGCGTCAGGAGCTCGCGCTGTGACGTGGAGGTGGCTTGACCATGCAACCTCACCTTATCTAGCGAAACTCGTATTTACGGCCTTGATATATCAGTATAGATAATATAGTGATATAGTTAAAATGGTGATGTAGGTTATGATTATGTTTTCTGTTGGTTCAAGATGTCCAATTATTGACGCGGCAAGATATAGTACCTGAGACTCCGTACGACAATACAGATCAACATTAAATTATGACACCGAGTCCTAAAGCAAAAGGTAATTTCAATCTTAATCCAGCAAGATATCATACCATGGCATGATGGAAAATACTATTTTTATCTACTGGAGAGAAAGAATCTGAGTTGTCAACAATTGCACAGCCACCTAATAAAAAAGTACCAGTTGTATGCAACACCCGGCAGTGTAGAGGCATATAACAGGCCACTACATTCCAAAGGACCAAGAGATTTCAAACGACCGTGTACCAAGAAAGCATGCAGTTCTTGGTGGACTTTGATAGCTGCAGATTTACACATCTCTGAGAAGAGGCATTGAATCAACGCCCTGGTCAATACTGAATTCTAGTAAAACCAGTAGCCACTTAGTTGAAGGGAGGCTCTGGAGACAGTCAATCCAATACGCGTTTACCATGATATATTCTGAAGAGGAACGGCAGGTCTTTTGTGAGATTGGATAATTAAGAGGGCAATTGTCGACGAGGCCTGTGTTGCTTATAGCCACATGTTGGACCTGCCAGGTCTTTTGAGTAAAAGCCCACCGCGTGAATCTGAACCCAGTTCTTTCGATGTGAAGAATGCAACATCAAGTATTCTTCAGGATACATTCCAACAGGATTCAAGGAGTTCCCGGAAAGAGGACGTCACGGTGTTCAAAGCCGGCGAGTTGGTTGGATCTCTTCTCGGTTCTTCCTAGAGTTCGAGAAGCATCATCTGTATGATATCGGACCATTTGCTGAGCACAGTTCAAAAGCCACACAGAAAAGACAATTCGTTGCCTTCTTTTTGGCCACACATTGAGTAAATTCCTGGTATAATAGCTCGTGTAATCAGTAGTGCGATTTTCGTATTTCCCGTCTGCCTCTAGGTCACCTCAAAGTCGAGCAAGTTCGAGTCAGGTAGGCTGAAAGGACTAAAGAGAAATCTTTTAGACACTGCAATTCGTAAAGCCAAGAACACTAGGCAACTCGCTAGTCAGTTCATAGTCGTTCATGGAGGAGGATCTCTCTCAGTTTAACCAAAAGGATCAATCACGCCATCGAGGCCTCACGGATGCAAATGGTCTTCCCCCGCTCATGTAGATATTGTCCGTCTTTTATGCCTCTTGAACCCCTCAATTCTCTCATATTTTCTTTGGAATTTTCAAGAGCTTTCCGAAATCCTTGGGCCTCCTACTCTTCGCGTGCTGGGTAAGTTCTGTGTCGATGTTGTTTAGTCCTTGAAGGACACGCTTTTATCTAATCGGCCTGATAGCTTAATTCCCCGCATTATCATCATATCTATATTGCCATAATTTTTTCAAGAACAAAAACCGGTTCATCATGTCTGGCGAACCTAATTATCGTTTCGAGACCCTACAACTTCATGCTGGGTAAGTCTACCTTGATCCTTTCTCTCAATTGCTGCTGACGGTGGCAGCCATGAACCCGACGGTACTACCAATTCCCGAGCTGTACCCATCTACGCCACCACAGTGCGTTTCATCTCCTGAACATCTCTATTCAAAGAGGCAATAAATGTTGATAAGCTATAAAAGTCCTTCGTCTTCAATGATTCCGCTCACGGCGCGAGGCTGTTTGGCCTCAAGGAATTCGGCAACATCTATAGCCGTATCATGAATGTAAACACTGAACCAGCATCCTGTTGACCGTCAAGTATTAACAAACTGACTGGACTCTTTACCTGGCAGCCAACCGTGGACGTGTTTGAGAAGCGTATCGCCGCGCTGGAAGGGGGAGTGGCTGCGGTGGCCGCCTCGTCCGGCCAGGCGGCTCAGTTCATGGCCATTTCGGCCCTGGCCCACGCCGGCGACAACATCGTCGCCACAAGCAACCTGTATGGCGGAACTTACAACCAGTTCAAGGTCTTTTTCGCGCGCCTTGGTATCGAGACCAAGTTCATCGCGGGCGATAAGCCCGAGGACATTGCGGCCGCCATCGATGACCGCACCAAGGCTGTCTACGTCGAGACCATTGGCAACCCGCGCTTCAACGTCCCGGACTTCGAGGCTATTGCTAAGGTGGCCCATGAGAATGGCGTTCCACTTGTTGTACGTTCGACCTTCCCCCCCCCCAATGAGATGAGTTGGATTCCATAAACTAAATCGATAGGTTGACAATACCTTTGGAGCTGGCGGCTATTTTGCTCGTCCCATCGACCACGGTGCCGACATTGTCGTGCACAGCGCCACCAAATGGATCGGCGGCCACGGCACGACCATCGGCGGCGTCGTGATCGACAGCGGCAAGTTCGACTGGGGCAAGCACGCGGCGCGGTTCCCGCAGTTCACCGAACCTTCAGCGGGCTACCACGGCCTGAAGTTCTGGGAGACCTTCGGTCCCATCACCTTTGCGGTCCGCGTCCGCGTCGAGATATTGCGTGATCTAGGATCCTCGTTGAACCCTTTTGCCGCGCAGCAGCTGCTGTTGGGTCTCGAGACCCTCAGCCTACGCGGCGAGCGTCATGCCAACAACGCCCTCGCACTCGCCCGCTGGCTCGAGAAGAACGAGCACGTCAGCTGGGTATCCTACCCCGGACTAGAGAGCCATGAAAGCCACGAGCTCGCCAAACGCTATCTGCCCCGCGGATTCGGCGGTGTCCTTGCCTTTGGCGTCAAGGGCGGTGCCACGGCCGGGAGCCAGGTGGTCGACGGCTTCAAACTCATCTCTAACCTTGCAAAGTAAGCCTTCCCCCCCCTTTAACTCCCTTTTATTTAGTAGTAATAAATGCAAAAATCTTGGTGGCTTTCAACTGACAGATATGATATAGTGTCGGCGACTCCAAGACTCTCGCTATCCACCCATGGTCTACGACCCACGAGCAGCTCAGCGAGGAGGAACGGCTTGCCTCTGGTGTCACAGAGGACCTCATTCGTATCTCCGTCGGCACGGAGCACATCGACGATATCATCGCTGACTTTGATCAGTCGTTCAAGGCTGCTGCTGCGGCAGGGTCGGAGAAAATCCTGACAGTACTCTAGGAGAGAAAGAAAGCTATGATTGAATGAAGGAATGAATTGAAAAAGGCGGACCAGACAGACGATCCGCTGGACAAAGATATGATACCTGTATATATGGATTAAATATAGTTATGTAGTAACTATCTTCCCAGTTCCCACTGTTCTGAATATTTAATAGTTGGGCCTGGAAGATTATTTACAGTAAGAAACCTGCAAAAAAGGACAGTGAGTGAATTACGACTATCACATATACTTTGATTCATCCAGACCAAGCTAGCACTACTAAAGATCTAGTGGGATAGTGTGCTTGCTACATGGAGAACCTACTACTTAATATCACTATCAAAAAAAAAAGCTGATATCATTACTCGATAGACCTAATTGACAGAACAAGAAAAGGAGACGAATCAAGCGAAAAACGAACCCAGAACTACCGGAGCTACCAACCAGAGCCGAATTTTTGATACAGGGACCATGAGGGTAAAAATGATTGTGCAGAGCAGAAGAAGAAGAAGAAACAGCGTACGAGCCAGATCAATGAAAGGACTAAATGTCGTACTCAGTTCAAATTCGAGGGAGAAAAAAACCGGCCCAAGGCAAACGGAGAAGACCGCGAATGTCCTAAACCTTGGGATGAAAAAGTTTTCTGTACATGAAAGCTGGAAATCATGCTACGTATCAAGACATAGCCAAACGGAACGTGGAGAAGATAGAAGACTCCTGTTCCACCTCTGGCGCAGGGATGATCCCTAATTGCCCTGGCCTGGAGGCGGTGGCTGCGTAGGCGCGGCAGAGCTGGCCTGAACTCCTCCCATCATGAAGCCGGGCGGGATCACAGGCATTCCAGGGAATGAGAACCCGAAGCCTGGGACGGCGGGGGCCACGGCAGGATTGCTGGCGTTGACTACATCACGATCGGAGAGGCCAACAGGAGCACCGGGGGCGCCCATCTGCTGAGGTTCACGATCTTGACGGCGGCCGCGGTCTTGCTGAGCGCGAGATGACACAGGCCCGCGTTTGCCGCCCGTGTCGGTTGCGATACGTCTGCTGATGGCTATCACGGGTGTTAGAAGTGTTGTTTCTCTTTTCAAAGTTGAATATATTTCTAGTTCTCTAAACTCACCTTTAGAGGAAACACCGGCACCAATTTCAATGTCGGGTTCTTCGACAACCATGCCACTCTCGATCGGACGACCGCCAGTTCCGCCATACTCGGCAGTAAGCATCCATTTACGATCAGCTTCCGTAAGCCTCTCGACAGGGATGATACTGATACCCGTCTGGTAGTCACTGCAGTCACGGGGGCCGAATCCAACACCCCATCGAGTCTGTACAATGTGTTAGCAGCTGTCCATATCCATACACTAAAATATCCAGGCTACTTACTCTCAGTTGCATGTCACCGGATTTATATGACTCCATTCCTTCTCTGGCAAGCACGGCGTCCTTGCGGCTGATCATTTTGATGAAAGCGTGCCGCTTGTCAATGTTGACAATGCAAGTCTGAACAAGACCGAACTTGTTGAAGAGTGAGCGCAAGTGTGCCTCCGAGGAACTATCCGGATGTTAGAACATGTATACTTGTTGGCACTTGAAAATCATGTAAAAAGATGACTTACGTCACACCACCGACGAATAGGGTTCGACTCAGAACTAGGAAGGTCGATGTCAGCACTAAGAAGAAGGAGGGAGGAATTTGTAGCACTAACCTTTGATGTTGCCCTGGCCAATGGAATAATCCCATTCAAGGAATTTTGGTCCCGGAGGAGGAAGGTTGGGGTCCTTGCGAGGGCTGGGAGAACGGCGTCTCCGTCCAGCAGGGCTCCGCTGGCGGTACTCATTCCCTCGACGGCCGCGCATATCACGGGGGTCGCCACCCCTACGGCCCGGCGAGTCTCCATGGTATTCGCCGTACACAGGGCTCTCACGACGCCGAGGGGGGGAAACTTCGCGGCGTCTATCCCAACCCGGGGAGCGTGAACGACGTCGGTACTGGCCAGGAGGGGAACGCATATAGTCACGGTCTCTCTCACGTTCTCTATCCATATCACGTGACTGGGGGTCCGGATGGCTGCCCCAGGAGGGGTTCTGTCCGGGCATGTTACCGTATCCAGGAATCTGTCCAGCATTCATGCCTTGCATGTTGGCGTTGTTGGAGAGGTTAAGGATTTGGAGTGCGGTGGCCCACTGCTCCTGAGGGATGCCCTGTGCGGCTAGCAGTTGCAAGAGCTGAAGCTGCTGTTGCAAAGCATCGGGTCCCATGCCTGGAGCAGGTTGGGGAAGAGCTGCACTTGGCTGCGGCAGAAGCGCCGACAATGGATTCTGTTGAGTGGCCAATGGGTTCGGAGTGTGACTCTGACTCTGCGGCTGACCCAGCCCTTGGTTCTGAGCAACATTGCCTAGAGCTGCGAAAGGTGCCGGGATAGTTCCAGCGTAAGGGTTTACGCCAGCCTGCATGTTTGCCGGTTGCGAAACCTGGTCTACAGACGAGGATACGGACGGCGGAAGCGCGCTCGCCGGGTTTAATACACTAAGAGGGTTGGCCGGTGCCGCTGCGCCGGGAGCCACCGGTGCCGCCGTGTTCTGCTTGGCCATATCAGCCAAAGCCTTCAGAATGCTAGAAGTATCTGGTGCCGATTGCGACGAAGTGGTTTGGGGAGCGCCATTTGTGATCTGTTGCTGGCTTTGAGGTGCCCCAAAAGGCACAAAGTTCGGTGCAGGGGAACCTTCTGGCGTAGTTGACTCAACGTCTAGAAGATAAATATCAGAAAGGCATCGTCCAGGTCTTACGCCCGGACAGTCTGGTGGTTTTGCCATAGGCGTGTAGACAGTATTGAAGGAATGAAGCTTACTCTGTGGTGCAGGTGCATTAAGTTTCTCCTTGAATGAAGCAAGCATTTTCGCGGGGAAAGTATAGCCCCGTTCCCAGATATCAACCAACTTCTTGATTTTTTCCTATAAGAAGCAGAATAGAGTACGTAAGTTGGACTGTCCATCACATAAAACAGGATGAGACGATTTAGAAATAAGCAGAACACGGCTTCTATAGGGATAGAGGGGTTATATGGTGGAAGGTACGTAGATAAGTGCTTAAAAGTGGCCAGCAGATCTCCTATAAAAGGAGATTTGCGGTCTTTCGACGGCCTTGTGCTTGCCCACGTGTTCTGTGATATTGGGACAGATAATTGCATGTTTCTTCTAGAGCGTACCTTTTGATCTTCGGGCGCATTGTTTATTATGTCGGTCATGAGGACAGGCAGTAACTCCGTCACTCTGTTCACACCCGCAGCGAATGTTCCGTCGGGAGCAGCACTACCGGCTGGCTGACCCGCCTTGCGCGCTGCTTCTACCCATTGTCGAGTTACAGAGTCTACGACATAGAGTACGCCCAGTTTGTGAGTCCCCGGTGCTTTCTTGAAATGTGTGTAGATCTTCTGGATGAGGACGGATTCATTCTGTTCGAGGCAAAGTGTTAGTCATATCGATAAGCAGTATTTGGCATGGATAGTATTGAAGCGTACCTGGACGTTGGCGGTACAAAGAGATGTTATGCTGCTGATTTTGGACCCTGAAACACCGGGAGGCTTAAGGGCAAGCATAGACTGGAGATAGTTATCCAGCTCTCCTACAGCGGAGGACATGATTGTATTTTGTGTGCACAAGTGCTTTGAACGTGATCGAGATCAATTTTCTTTTTCAAGTGGAAGCTTTATCGTCTTAGAGGATGAAGAAAGTGTTGTAGGCAATTGAATTGATACCAAGCACAAGGCGAGTCTACCGGAGCCAGCGCAAAATTCGTCTAGTGAATGCTGACTTGGTGCCCTAGTGAAAGCGAGTTCCCCTAGATTGACTCTTTTAGCCGTCGCTACGACTGCACAAGCGCTCTTTGACGACCACAGGCCTCGCGCCTACAGCTGGAACACAGCTAAGCGATGATGTCCAGTGATTCGCGCTGTGCGAACGAGTACGAGTACAGAGTACGACCTAAAATCGAAACTTCGAGGAAAATGACGGGATAAAAGGAGAGATAATGAATTTACGCCGAATAAAGGGCTCGGGTGAGAAAAAAGACGAGATGGAGTGATGGAGTGAGGTTGTTAAAGAGAAGGAAAAAGGGGAGGAGTTGTGACAGCAAGTCAAAGGGTCAGGCGAGGAGAAATCTGCAGTCGCCGGAGCTAGCCCGTTCCGGTCAAGTGTGCTTTCCTTAGTAATGTTCATAGCCTCAGGCCAAAATTGATGCCTTGCGCTGCAACAGCGTCCTTTCAAGGTTCCCCCCCGACTATAGACCTGGAGTACTCCAGAGTCTGTACCTATTTACTAGGTAAATATTATTACTGAAGAATAAAGCAGCTCTTATTGCCAGTTATTGCCAGTAGTCATTCCCTCAACCAAACCTAAATTTATACTAAATATCAATGCTGAATACTTAAGCTACTTGACATCGAGACATCAATATTATTTATAGAAGCTTTGAATCAGATAACATCATGAAATTATTATTTCTCAAGGTTGAAGAAACTATTATTGTAGTAGATGATTTTATTCCATATCTATCAATAGTAAACCACTCACATAGTGCTCCATACCAATTTATTCTTGTGGAGAAGAACAAAGCCGACTTATTTCCAGGACTTGGCTCTGCAAATGCTTTATTCATGGAGATTACTGTAGGTTCGGGGAAAACACGGAGTAACCCACCATTAGTAATTACAATACGAGCAAGTTACCTAATATTTACCGGTATGTGGGCTAGGTACTAGGTAGGATACCGGTAACTATAAGGTAGTTATTACCTGCCTAGTACCAGGTAGTTACGCAACCTACCTTACCTAGTTAACCTCGACCTGCCGACGTCACTACCTCTCCGTACTGCAGGTGTTTTACCGTACAATATTCATAAGCTCGTAGAACAAGACACACCGAGGCGCAAAAAGGCAGGACAGTGACCACCATACCGCCTCACCGCAGTATCAGATAGATCCTTTCTGTAAATTCCAAACTGGGCTGCAATATATCAACTGATGTAAACTTCCTCAGTCAGAGAGTATTGATCGTCTCATCATTACAGGACTCTGCTTCGCTTCATGTTCATAGCGGAATCGGGCGGATCAGCATTCACCACCAAAAACACGGGATCTCGGCGGCGTGGGGGCATGGGTTACAGTACAATACAGAATCCATACAAGCTTTGTTGTTGATTGTTGTAGCTTCTTGGCTTTCTTGTCCGGTACCGTTTGTACCGGCTGTACGGAATACTGTTACGGCCAGATGGAAAAAAAGGGCCGCAAAAGAGCTGCATTCCCGCGAATGTCTTCATGATTCCTCTCCATCTCCTCTCCTTGTGTCAGACCTCTCTCCTCTTTTTATCATCAACCCTTTTTTCCCCCGGATCATATCAATCATATCGATTGCAATGGCTTCCTCTCTCAGACTAGGAACCTCTGCTCTTCGTTCCTCTTCCATTGCTGCTAAGCCAGCTGTGCAGTCCGCGGCCTTCAATGGCTTGCGCTGCTACTCTACCGGCAAGGCCAAGGTATGCCGCAAGCATTCCGCTTCTTAGTTTCAATAGCTGGACACTAACATCTATTTCTACGTCTAGTCCCTGAAGGAGACCTTCGCCGAAAAGATCCCCGGTGAGATTGAGAAGGTCAAGAAGCTCAGAAAGTATGTTGTCAGGACTGTAGTTCGTAATAGTTTCATTTGCTGACTGTGATTTTTTACTATTTAGGGAGTATGGCAACAAGGTCATTGGTGAGGTCACTCTTGACCAGGCCTACGGTGGTGCTCGTGGCATCAAGGCTCTCGTCTGGGAGGTAGGTGGCTAAATCGCCTGAGCCGGTTAGGTGAACAAGCTGACGATTGATGTTAAGGGCTCCGTTCTCGATTCTGAGGAGGGTATCCGCTTCCGTGGCAAGACTGTGAGTATAAGCTGGCGATTAAAAATGGATGATATGAGTTCTCACAAGTCTACTAGATCCCCGAGATCCAGGAGCTCCTGCCCAAGGCCCCCGGTGGCGAGGAGCCCCTTCCTGAAGGTTAGTGAGATTAAATCAGGCAGATACTTCGAACAATACTAAAAAAGGACAACAATAGGTCTCTTCTGGCTCCTTCTTACTGGCGAGATCCCCTCTGAGCAGCAGGTTCGCGACCTGTCTGCCGAGTGGGCTGCTCGCTCCGATGTCCCCAAGTTCGTTGAAGAGCTCATCGACCGCTGCCCCAGCACTCTCCACCCCATGGCTCAGTTCTCCCTCGCTGTGACTGCTCTTGAGCACGAGTCTGCCTTCGCCAAGGCTTACGCCAAGGGCATCAACAAGAAGGAGTACTGGAGCTACACCTTCGAGGATTCCATGGACCTCATTGCCAAGCTTCCCACCATTGCCTCCAAGATCTACCGCAACGTCTTCAAGGATGGCAAGGTTGCCGCTATCCAGAAGGACAAGGATTACTCCTTCAACCTGGCCAACCAGCTTGGCTACGGCGAAAACAAGGACTTCGTTGAGCTGATGCGCCTGTACCTGACCATCCACTCTGACCACGAGGGTGGCAATGTCAGCGCCCACACCACCCACCTCGTCGGCAGTGCTCTGAGCTCCCCCATGCTCTCTCTGGCCGCCGGTCTGAACGGTCTGGCTGGTCCTCTTCACGGACTGTAAGTCTTACAGGTCACTGTCTCTACAACAAGTTTACCGCATAGCTAACAGAGCGAAAATAGGGCCAACCAGGAGGTGCTCAACTGGCTCACCAAGATGAAGGCCAGCATTGGCAACGACCTCAGCGACCAGGCCATCAAGGACTACCTCTGGGCCACCCTCAACGCCGGCCAGGTCGTGCCCGGCTACGGCCACGCCGTTCTCCGCAAGACCGATCCTCGCTACACTTCTCAGCGCGAGTTCGCTCTTCGCAAGCTTCCTGATGACCCCATGTTCAAGCTGGTCAGCCAGGTCTACAAGATCGCCCCTGGTGTCCTGACCGAGCACGGCAAGACCAAGAACCCTTACCCCAACGTCGATGCTGTAAGTTTCCTTGCTACTGTTCGCTTTAGTCTCTGAAGGTGTAAACTAACGTTGCTGCAGCACTCTGGCGTCCTCCTCCAGTACTACGGCTTGAACGAGGCTAACTACTACACCGTCCTCTTCGGTGTGTCCCGTGCCCTCGGTGTCCTGCCCCAGCTCATCATCGACCGCGCTCTTGGCGCCCCCATCGAGCGCCCCAAGTCCTTCAGCACTGAGGCCTACGCCAAGCTTGTTGGTGCCAAGCTGTAAAAAGCTGGTATCTGAAAAACCCCGGGGGTCGGTATGACGGCTTTTTGCAATCTGTATCATTTCATATCAATTTAGATTGGGAAGCGCTGAGTCTTGGGTTTGGTTCAATTTGTATGATATGATTCCATCGGTTCGAGCGGGCCTTGAAAAGCCCTTCTACATCCACTACGCAATGTTTCTGGCCTGTTTTTTTCGTATATTCTGTACATCCAGTATGGAGGTACATTCACCTAAGACCCCCCGAGAGTAGGAGACCTACTGGAACAGTACATGATCACACCGTACTCCGGACGTCTCCTTGTCGATGCGCGCGACCATGGGCCGCGCCGATCAGAGCTGTCTCGCCGCCTCCTCAACCCTTCTGTTTTGTTGCGGCGTGTTGGGAGCGGCCCGGTTTTCTCCGGGGCTCAACACACCCAAGTCTTGTACCGCTCACCGCCGGACCTTATGGGGCCTAGCGCGTAAATCTGCCCGTTCCTGACCTATTCAGGGCTAGCGCCTCCCCAATATGTCCAAATGCGCAGCTTTGTTAGCGGTTTGTTTAGGGGTGTCAATTATTGGATGCGTAGTCAGCAGTAGTGAATGCAGCCTCAGCCAAGCGACTCCGTACTTGTAGCTACCTACTTCATCTACCTACTACTCTACTTCCCCCATCTCCTCCCGTATCACGGTCATATCACCAAGTGAGCTGCCATTTGCTTCTTCCAACCAGCCTATATCGTGAGTCTCAAAAATTCCCAGGCGGCGCTGTCCCACCTTGTACGTGGCACAAAACTTACACGCAGTTTTGTCCAGGCTTCTCTGCCCTCTGATCTGGTTGCTCTCGCGCCCTCTCCTCAAACCTTTCCTGTACCTTTGATCCCTTAGGCGACGAAGCCCCAATACATCCCTTGGTCAGGGCCCCTTTCAGCGCTACCAATGCCAGAGATGTCTACTTCGCTCGAGAGAAAGCCCGTCAAGTTCAGCAACTTGCTGCGTGAGTACTGCCAGTCCTTGGAAAGTATCATAGTACGCGAACACGTTCTGATCATGTCGTTGTAGTTGGCGCTGGCCTTAACCTGTTTGAGTAAGTCTCTTTTTTTTTCTCTTCGGGATTGTTTACTCGGTACTAATAGTTACGATTAGGGTCACGACTTTGGGTCAGGTATGACGGTGCACTCCTTGAAAAAATCTAATATGGGGATACTGTTTCTCACACTATCGGAATAGCCGCTGGAAGTGATCAAGACAACCATGGCCGCAAACCGAAGTGACACCTTCGCTGGCGCTATGGGTCGGATTTGGGGTCGTGGCGGGATCCTCGGTTGTAAGTGATGCCGACAGCCGCATGTCCGGCCGATGGGAATATCGCTGACGCGACGTGATCTTCTAGACTATCAAGGTCTCATTCCATGGGCCTGGATTGAGGCCTCCACCAAAGGCGCTGTCCTCCTGTTCGTCGCGTCTGAGGCGGAGTTTCGGGCGAAGAGTCTCGGTGCCAACGACTTCTTCTCTGGTATCCTCGGAGGTATGACCGGTGGTGTGGCTCAGGCCTACGCTACGATGGGTTTCTGTACCTGCATGAAGACAGTGGAAATCACGCAGCACAAGATGGCCGCACAGGGTGTCAAGCCTCAGAGCACGTTTGCAACCTTCATGGACATCTATCGTCGTGAGGGTATCCGCGGTATCAACAGGGGTGTCAATGCCGTTGCAATTCGTCAGACGACCAACTGGGGTTCCCGTTTCGGCTTGTCTCGCCTGGCTGAAGTTGCCATCCGCAGGGTTATGGACAAGGAAGACGGCCAGAAGCTGAACGCCCTGGAAAAGATCTGCGCATCTACTCTGGGTGGCGGTCTTTCTGCCTGGAATCAGCCTATTGAAGTCATCCGTGTCGAGATGCAGAGCAAGACCGAGGACCCCAACCGCCCCAAGAACTTGACCGTCGGCAAGACTTTCAAGTACATTTACCAGAACAACGGTATCAAGGGCCTTTACCGTGGTGTAGCTCCCCGCATTGGCCTTGGAATCTGGCAGACTGTCTGCATGGTGGCTCTTGGTGACATGTAAGTGGACCCTCCCTCCCCTGTTCTTCCAACGTTTCATGTGATTACCGAGGGACGAACGTTAGGCTGACGCGTGTAATCTTCCGTTACTCCGAAATAGGGCCAAGGAAGCAGTCGAAAAACTGACCGGCGAAAAGGTCACCGCTAAGCACTAGAGAAGGGATGAGATACCCTTCTGCCATGCACACTACTCTATGATGACCGGGGGTGGCCGAGGTCAGAACCTTTGTGGTCTTTAATTTTCGTTTCAGCTAGGTGTCTGGACATTAATAATCAAGTTCCTCACGCATAATTTTCTATATAATATGTTATGATGATAGAGAAAAAGAAATTAATAGCTTAAGGGAACTCTCTAATTATTCTTCCACCATTGTATTAAACCATTGGACTATGGATATATGTAATACATACCCAAGTAACAGCTAGTCTCTAGCTGCTGACGTTCGATAGAACAACATGGTAGGGGTAAAATTCTTAGTTGTAATTACCCCCGAGTCCGGTGATTGCTGGTGCTCTATATTTTGCATGATAATCCCAGTCAAATTATGCTAAAGAGCGTTCTGATATTGATGGTATCCCTAGGTATCTACGAGAAGACGGCGGAGCTGGAGCCCTTGTTATAGGCATCTCTATCAGGCAGCAGTAAGGTGCATATAAAGCATCACTTCGTCCTTGGACGCTTACATGTTGATGTGGTCTTCAGACATATATATTAATCAGTGATGCAATCCTTGACCCAACAAACTCCATGTTATAATGATATTAGGACAAAAAAACCACGAGATGGGCAGTACTTAGATCGAGATAAGAGAGCAGATCATGGAAATAAGGATAGACTTGAGTCGTGAATGAGATATTGGAATGATCCGGTTACAGCTGTGTAGACAGTCACCGCCATTAGTAGCATCATCGCTCTGTATACCCAACACTAGAGTCACTTGCTTACTCGTTGCTGTTCAGCTCTACGTACTCGTCCGGTAGAGGAAATGCATAAGATACAATTGTATTACAGTCACGACTACAATCACATCACCAAGAAAATATCTGCGGGGGAGACTGATCTAGGAACACAAAACATGGCAAGAGCATTTTTTCCATGCGAATCTAATCTGTAATGTATCCAACTTAAACAGTCAAGCCAAGGTCCTCGGCGTAGGGGAGCTGGAAAAGATCACCGACAGCGGCAACGGAGGCCTTGCCAGAGAGGAAGGTCTTGGCGGCCTAGATTCGATTAGTACAAAGATCCCTCCTAGATGGTTACGGATAGCTAGTGAAAGCAGAGAACTTACCTCCTTGACCTGCTGTTCAGTGACGCCCTCGATAGCCTTGGCGATCTCACCGATCTGGTAGGGCTTGCTGCCGTTGATCAGACCAGAGCCGGTGGCCTCAATACCGGTCTCCAGAGTCTGCACAGACTCGAGAGCACGGAACTTGGCGAGGGCAACGGCCTTCTTGATAGTCTCACTTGAAACATCGCCGGCGGCGGTCTTCTTGACGATCTCAACAACGTTCTTGCCAGCAGCGGCAATCTGGCCAGCCTGGCCAGACAGACTGACAGTGAAAAGACCAGCATCAGAGTAGGCAAGGTTCTGGGTGGAAGCACGGAGCTGAGAGAAGCCCTGGGTGGCCTGGGCCAGGAGGGAGAAACCAGGGGTCCACTTGATGTTGGACTCGCCGCCAAGGAGGGCAGCGAGGACAGAAGCCTCGGGCTTGTAGCCAGCGGTACCGAAGGCGCTGGAGCCAGGGAAAGCAATCACGAGAGAGCTTCCAGCCTTGGAGGCAATGCGCTGTTCACCACCAAAGTATTTTGAGGCAGGGCTCTCCTTGGCGCTGCCGGTGGGGAGCTCCTTGAAGAACTCGCCAACCCACTTGGACAGCTCAGCGGAGTTGGAACCGCTGGCAACAAGGGCAATGTTGGACTTGGCATAGGCCTCCTTGGCGAATTCGGCGATGGCATCCGCAGAAAGATACTTGTCGAACACAGCGTTGGTGGGGGTGAGGGTCTCACCCAGGCCGCGGTGGAAAGCGACACCGTGAGCGGCATCAAGAGCAACAGCCTCAGAGTTCGAGGCAAAGGCCTGTTGTTTGTAACGGAGAAGGCCAAGGACAACCTCCTTCAATTCGTGGGCTGATGAGAAACAGAAGAGTATTAGAAAACCCAGCGCGTTATGCCTCCTTCATCACCAGACGGACAACATGGACTCACCGGGGTATTTCGTTTGGGATGCAACCTCAGCAAGCAGCTCTGCGAAGTAAGGAAGATCGCTCGAGAGGAACTTGGCCTTGAGAACGACGTTCTCGCGAGAGTTTGTCGAGGAGACCTCACCGCCCAGCAGTTCGACCTCCCGGTTGATCCGCAGCGCCGAGCGCTTGAGTGTGGTCTATAAATTGAAGCAATAAGTTAGTAAAAAAGGGTGATTCCTTGCAGCCTACAACCTAGGCAAAGCAATTGGGGTGGGAAATGCCGCAAACCTTGAAAGCGAAATATTCGAGAGCGTCGGAAAGGCCAGGGAAGGGCTGATAGCGAGCACCGGCCTTCGCAACCAACGCCAGAGTGGTTGTAGGGCCAGCGACCTCTCTGTGAGCGACCTTGACACCTGCAGCCTCCGAGACATCATACTGGAAGCCTGGAGAGGCAGCAGAGGCCATCGACCGACGGCTAGCAAAACACTGCTGCTGGAGCGCACGGGGCGCTTTCTTGCCCAAGGTAGACCGCGACAGCATTATCGCATGTGCCGTGCAGACTTGGAAGCAAAGGAAGTGTAGAAAGTCGAAGACCTGAGGTCAATTGGGTCGACGGGAGAGGAGGGGGGAGAATGGGGTGCTGTCGGTGACAGTTCGGACGATGTCTGAAAAGCTTCAAGATGCCGAGTCGCCCAGCGCCAGTCTTGATTACTCCCTCCGTCATTGGCTGAAATGACGAGGGCGGGCGGAACCGGCTTTTCCTCATTCCTATAGTCACGTGAAGTCAGGTGATCTTCCGTCAGGCCACGAAACAGGCTAGTCTGGAGAAGGATAGGCTTGACCAATTTGACGGCTGACTAATGCGTATTTTAAGACGATCGAAGCAGTCAATTAGCTTCACGTGATTTCAAGGCACGCCGTGTGCGATAATTTGAAGAGAGCGCAGCAGCAAAGGAAAATAGAAGGAAATTACATTCTCAGGCGAAAGTAATTACCTTCGATCCTCAGAGATTAAGACGAAGTGCTTAGATAGCGCTCGCTGATCGATATCTTCTTCTCAATTGTGTTGGTTTATTCTTCATTGGATAAAAAGTCTCCTCATGCAAGTCTCACGGTGACGTTCGGAGTCATACTTCTGGAGAGCTAGAAGCAGATTCTCTTTCTAGGGGCAGTCAGGACGAAAATGACATCTCAGGTATCACTTTCCTGATCTTCGCTATATTGCAACCTTGCATGTGATACTAATCCGAGCGGCTCAGTATGCGACGGAGCTTTGCTCCCTTCTGATTGAAGATAATTTTGGAGAGCTCTTTGCGGTAAGTCTTCTGCATCACCAGCGCAACGTTCACATATTGGTTGAGCATTGTTTTTCAAATCAATTGTTTCAGCGCTGATATACTATCTTTACAGCGCATCTTTTCGACCCTGCAACGCTACGATCGCCTTACCCTTCCCCGCCTAAGGTTCTATTCGAGACTATCGGACCGCCAGCTTCACCATGGACTGGCAGCAATGGTCCAGCACCATCTTATTTATCACTACACTAGTCTCGAGGATGGAAACACCTACTACGAAACGAATCTACAGTCGGCGTACTACCTTGTTCGGTCTGGCAAGATCCTGGAGATGATCGAGGACAGGCTAGGGAAATATGCGGCTACGGTCATGTCGACAATTATGTTCCTTGGACACGCTCAGATTGCGCATCTTGAAACTCTTCCGGAGCTCAAGCCCCAACGGAGCCATGCGAACGGTGTTGGTGAAGAAATGAAGGAGGAAGCAGAAGGCCAAGCCAATGGAGTTGATGGCGAACACGAATTGGATGAGCTCGTGGAAAATGCCGCCATTCATTCAACGCTCAAGGCCCTCGCTGCACATGGATACGTCATACAAGTTCGCGATGCCCAATTTCAGAGTCCCAATGACAATGTCTTGGATGCACAGCGAGTGCTCAAGGCAAGACCAGACGTCAAAGAGATGAAGGGCAAGAAGCAGGAACAGTTTCTTTTGGAAAACACAGAGCGCATTGTCAAGGAGCGAACCGATGGAGATCTCAGCAGGGGCTTGATGTTCAATGGAGTTCCTCAGGGTGTTAAGAGAAAGCACAGCCAGAAACCCAACGAGGAAAGGAGAGAGTACGTCGATATCGACGAAGACGAAGAAAATGAATGGTCGGACGACGACTTTGGTGGCAACAGCCCAATGGATGTATGTTTCCCTGATTCATATTCCTGCCCTCCCTGCGTTTGCTTCCACTCTGCTGACATGTGCTTCAGTCCAACCTTGTCGTTCGGGTTAATTATCCCAAGCTGGATGTTGCTCTACGGAACCGACGCCTTGTCGAGCTTGTCGACCAAGAATCCTCATCTGCAACAGCCCAGGTATACGATTGTCTACTGCGGCGGATCGAATATCAAACCCCACGTTGCCGAGACATCGCGGAGATTCCGCGCGAAGGCGAAGAGTCCGAACAGTACTCTGTTCCGATCCGGCTCAGCGCGCTGGTGGACGACATTGACCCGTATCTCGATCTTTCGGGGTCGATTGGTCCGATGGAGGTCCCACAGGGCCCAGCCCGCCGTGGGAAACGACCGCTGGAGAACGGGGTCCACGGAGATACTGACGACCGTGAGGGACAGCCGTCTTCTACTACGAACGGCACGTCTTCGTCATCATCCGGGGCGAGCCGGACCTACGAAGTCGACCAACACCTGTGCCTGCTCGCGCAGCCGCCGTACAACTTCACTTCGAAGCGGATGATCGGCGGCCTGATCAACTGGACGGTGGAGTACCGACACCTGGCGCGCAAGCTGCGTCACACAGAGCTGGAGCGGATAATCGAGGCGCGGTACGGCGACGTCGCGCTACGGGTGGTGCGCGTGCTGCACGCCAAGGGCAAGTTGGACGAGAAGCGGCTTCAGGAGATCAGCCTGCTTCCGTTCAAGGATCTGCGGCAGGTGCTGGCCAGCATGCAGGCGGGCGGGTTCGTGGACCTGCAAGAAGTCCCGCGGGATGCCCAACGGCAGCCCTCGCGCACCATCTACCTGTGGTTCTACGACCCAGACCGCGTCGCGGCAGGGATCCTCGAGGACACGTACAAGGCCATGTCGCGCTGCCTGCAGCGCATCCGGTTCGAGCGCGCCCGCCTCCGCGAATTCCTCGACAAGACAGAGCGATCGGACGTCAAGGGCAACGAGGAGCGCTACCTGTCCGAGGGCGAGCTCAAGACTCTTCACCAGTGGCGCGCCAAGGAGGCCTTGCTCCTCGGCGAGGTCTCTCGTCTTGATGACATGGTTGCCGTGTTTAGAGACTATTAAAGTCCACTTCTTTGTATAAAAAAAAACTAAATGAGAAACGAAGAAAGAAAGAAATAAATGAAAAAAAAAAGAAAAAGCAACATTGCATTTGAAACCTACAGGGTTATATATAAACAGTAACATCCCATTTAAAAATATGTTAAAACAACGCAATCTATTAGCCAATATCAATACAAACAGACAACCTCCCAGATATACCGACCCCGGCATCTACAGAACCCTAGATATAGATGGAAAAAATCGGAAAAAAAATATCCCTATATACAACACACCACCAAAGCAAATCACATCTAGAACAAGGAAAGAAGGGGAAAAAGAGAAGAGAAGAGAAGAAGAAGAAGAGAAAAAGGAAATCGGTCAATCTTGATCTACCATGCCGAATTATCCCATTTGGACAAGAATACTGCAGAAACACTGGTATCAAACCGATGGTTCCGAAGCAAGTATTATTGGGTATATGGGAGGATGAGTCAAGAGCAAGACATAGACGATGAATGAAAAGCGGATAAGAGGCCAAAGGGGGGGGAAGGGAAAGTCTACGGCAACAACTGGGGCGATGGTATAGGGGCAGAGAGACAGAGGAGAAGAGAGACCAATACTGAGGAGGTTTTTTTTTAACCCCCC